CTGTTGGGACAAGCCCTGGCACGCTGCCGTCCTCCATCCTCCACAAGAGCTCAGGCCTTCCACCTCCAGGAAGCCAGTCCTGCCTGTTCTAGCCTTGCCTATCTGTTCCTCCTTGGAACCCTGACAGCAACTCAACTCAGGGAAGACTCCCTGAGGTCATGCTGGGCCCTGGGGGGGCCAACACCAAGAAAGAAGGCATGGCCCCTACCCTCAGGGGGCTCCAAGTAGGAGGTGGAGACTGGCCCGGATGCCAGGCTGTGTAAGGAGGGGAGGTGCAAGGCCATCTCCACCCCTACTGGAAAGTAATACAGGAAGAGAATTCCAACTGAGTCCGTGTCCAGGAGTGCATCCCTGAAGAGAGGGCCTCCGAGCTGGGCTGTAAGCAATGAGGGATGGGGAGCACAGGGAAAGTGCAAAGGCCCCGGGGGGTGGGTGGAGGAGGGGACTGGCCCATGGTGGCACCTGGGGTCTAGTGGCAGGGCGGCAGAGCGGTCAGAGGCTGGGCTCAGGAGGTAAACTGCGGGTGCCAGTGCATTCCCACCTATCACTAGCTGGGTGAGCTCGGGGCTGTCACTGAACCTCCTGTGCCTCAGTTTCTTTCCTAGAAGGAGAATAATAACAGTATCCACTCACTGGGTTGCTGAGACGACAGAGCGCTCAGAGCCGGGCTGGCCCACAGGAGGCTCTGGAAGTGTGGGTCTCTGCTGTCGAGGGGGCACAGGGTAGGGGAGGCCCAGCCCCAGGGAGCTTATTGCACACCACCCCGGTCTGATGCTGGGATTCGACGGGCAGATTATAAACTCCTGAAGGCAAGTCCACAGTGGCTACTCAGTAAACACTTGTGCACTTGAACTGATGTGAGCGAGCACCGTTCCCACCTCCCAGCACGTAAATTACTACTACATACCAAACATTGAGCCAGGTATTTGTGTGCGTGCGTGCATGTGTGTGTGTGTGTGTGTGTGCATATTCTTAATGAATTCTCCCATCCACTCCCAAATGTAGTGATATATAATATTATCAGCATTTTACACATGCAAAAACCAAGTCCCAAGAAGCTAACAGCATAAATCGCCCAAGGCCACGTGGATGCTAATGGCACAACTTCCTGACTCCAAGTCCAGTGCTCTTTCTACTGCCCTCCAAACCACGAACAACACAGCCTGTCCAGAGGCAGGGGAGCCTAGGAAATGTTCGAGGGAGCTCTCACACTCCCCATGCACTCACCCAGACTAAGCTTCTGTCGCGGTCACTACCATACCCTTGACCCCTGACCTGTGCCCCTGAGCCCTCCCTCACCCCAATGTGCAGCCCCTCCCCTGCCACATCCCCCAACTCCCCACACACTCCAGTGTGACTGCAATTCTGACCTCTAGCTCTGGGGTCCCACGCCCAGGCTTCTTACCCCTGCCCTCTCCCCAGAGATTTAGGGCTCTGCAGGGGGTCATCACAGCCTCGGGGCTCCAGACACCCAGTGAGGGAGACTGCAAGGCCCAGAGTGCTCGAAAAGTAAACACATCTGGACTGTTCCCCCCGCCCCCATTCAGAATCAGCCAGTCTGTGGTGGAAGCCAGGCTTCAGTACTTTTGAAAAACTTCACATATGATTCGAAAGTTCAGCAAGAATTAGAACCAATCCTCCAGACACCTGCCTAGGAGCTGGTGAGAAATGCAGAATGGCAGGTCCCATCCCAGACCTGAAGAATGGGAGCCAGTGTGCTGCACACCTTTATGGTGAAAAGTACTGCCCTAGGCTGACCCCCGGCTTCCACACAAACCAGCAGGGAGGGATGAAGGCGAATCCCCTCCCCCTCCCCAGCCCCAGGACACAGGACATGGATAGTGAGTATCTGAAGAAGCACTGAGAGAGGGGGCCACAGGCCTGAGGGAACGAGGGAGTGAGAGCCTAGACCAGGCAGGTGCCTGGAGGTGCTAAAGTGCTTTCCCAGTGTCCCCTCATCTGTCCTCAGTCAGGAAGAGAGTCTCATGCCCACCGGGGGAAACCGAGGCTGGAGCAGAGGCTCAACTTGACCAGCACCACCCCTCGCCCTCACATAGCCCCAGCTCCACTGAAGAGCAGATTTCCCCCATCTCAGCTCAGTGTGTCCTGGGAAGCAGGCAGGGAGGCACTGGGGGGTCACTGCCCAGGTGAGAGATAAGGGCCTGAGACCCGGGGCAGTGAACCCAGGGCAGAGCCTCCCACAAAGCAGGCCCAGTGCCCTAGGAAGAGGACTCAGGGAGCTAAGGGGTTAAGGGTCACTGCTGACAGAAGCAGCTCTGCCAGGCGGAGTCCTCAGTGGGCTTTACATCTGACTGCCAGGGGCCATCATTCACTGTCAGGGCCGTCTGAGCAGTAAGGCTGGGACTGGCAGCAACAGAACCCAGGTGGGGTCCCAGGAAAAGCCTGCAGCTCCTGAAAGGCCTCCCCACCCAGGGAAGGAAACCTAACTCTGCACCATTACGCTCACACTGTGGGCCCCCCTCTCTGCTGGGGAGAGAGGGCAGGCCACAGAGTCCACCGGCCGCCACACCTCAGTGAGGATGGGCAGACTGGATGGGGGTGTGGCTGTTCTGCCAAGGGCAGAGGCCAGGATATCTTCACCCAGCACCACTGCCCCCTCTCCAAACTCACTGCTCTCCAGAGATGGCTGGGGCCTTTGCCCTCTCTGCTGGAGGAAGCTGGGGCCCCCAGGGCCTGGGATGGGATGGAGAGGATTACAGTTGTCAGCATGGGGGTGGTCACAGCAGGGGTTGCCCCTCCTCTTCACCCCCCTCCATGCCCACAGCTCTGGGCATCTGGCAGCCCCTCCCTGCACCCCTGAAGGCCCACCTGCCTTATCCAGCACCTCTCAGCAGAAAGCCCAAGCACAGCAATGAGGAAACAGAAGAGAGGGAGAGAGAGAGAGAGAGACAGAGGGAGGGGAAGAGAGAGGCCCCCTCTGTCCAGCGTGGCTTCTCTGCAGACCCAGAGCGCCCACTGCCACCCCCACCCCCATCCTGGCACAGCTGGGCCAAGGAGGGTGAGGGAGAAGGCGGGGAGACGGAGAGGGGCGCTGTGGGACCCCACGCCCAGGCTTCTTACCCTGGGCCCTCTCCCTCCACAGCCACCCCTCCTGCCCCAGGGGGTCTCGGACACCACGGGGAGCAGGGAAGTCCTTCCCTCGAAGAGGAGGAACCAAGGGGATGGGAGGGCGAGTGGGGACCCACCGGGATCTAGAGATGCCAGGCAGGCGGGCAGCGGGCAGGCAGCAGCGAGTGCTGGAGACTGCTGCAGCAGCTGGACGCGACCGGCTGGATGCACGTCCCTCCGTCCCTCTGTCCACCCAGGGCGGCTCCTCTCTGGGCGGTTCTGAGGCCGGGCGGGCGCTGTTAAAAAGCTTTTTATGTGTGTGTGTGTTAATCACATGATTGCCGTTCACCTGTATTTCGAACAAAGACAGCTCACTGTTTCAAGGCCCCGAACAAGAGTCTGGGCACAGGGAAGAGAAGGGAGGCGGGGGGAGGAGGGTTGGCAGCGCCGGGGGTGGCGTCGAGGAAAACTGGGGGGAGATTGTCCAAGGCCGGCAAGCGAGAGAAAGAGAAAACCCTTATCAAACTCCTAATTCACTGGGCTCCGAGGCCCCAGACACACTGGCCCGATTGTCTGGCTGGTTGTGTGTGCGAGCATGTGTGTGTGTGCTCCAATGTCCGTTCCCCCCACCCCCAACATGCCTTTGCCTCGTGTGACTACCTCATTGTGTCCCATTACCCACCCCCCTCCACCCCCTTGGCCTTTCCCAAGCATGAGGCCTTGCCTAGACCCCCTTTGCAGCCCCATTCCAGACAAGACTCCCTTGGGGTGGGCCTAGGGCCTTGCCCAGCCGCTGAGCTCAGAACCGTACATGGTCGCCAGCGCGGCCCGGGCTCCATCTGCCCCCTCCATGCCCACCCGCACCTCTGCCTCGACACCCACCCTCTGCGAAGACAGAGGGGCTGTGACCTTTGGGGGACAGACCTGGGAAAGGGGAGAGGAAAAGGAGCCTTGGGTGATGGGCGGGAAAGAAAAAGGAGAGCGATCACCCCACTGGGGAGGTGGCTGAGGACAGAAGTGGGCAGAGAGGCGGGAGAGGGACGTAGGGCAACTCCCCACCCTTTTGGGGTGGGGGTGTGCAGGACTTCATGACAACCCAGCCCGAGACCCCCCCCCACACACACCAAGAGAGCATGAACCCAGTGTGGAGGGAGCTGGGGCCCCAGAAGACTTTCGGACCTACTTGAAGAGGACCCCCCCCAGCCCAGCCCCATGGCCAGCCCCCCAGGAACTTCAGTCCTGCCTCTCTACCTTGAGCCAGCCCAGCCCTTACAAGTGCTGCGCATCTGGTGAGAAGGGCCCAGGGGGGCAGCTAGGGCCTCTGCTCTGGGCAGGGGCTATCTAGCTGCCCCTGCCTCACCAGGTATGGACCCGCGTGTGCTCTCTCTCACCATATGAGTGGAGGCAGAGGGTAGCCTGGGTCGGGGTGGGAGGCAGGTGAGGCAGGCTGAGAAGCAGCGTCCCTCCGACCACAGTAGGCACTCCCTAAGCGTCTTAAACCAGCGATGCAGGCCAGCCGCCCTCGGATGTCCACAGAAACTTCACCTGTGTTCTCCTCATCCAGCCCCAATCCTTTGCCACCTGCCCATCCCACCACCTGAGGCAGAGGTTGGGGGTCCCAGTTGGGCCCAATTTTCCTGCAAGCAACAGGTTCTGACCCTGCCCACCTGCATCCCTTGGCTTGCCTGGCCTAACCACCCCCACTCCTACACCTCCCTGACTAAGCCCAGGCCCCAAGACAGGCCTGGGACAGCAGCGCCTGGAGCTGGGGTGGGGGGGCCTGGCGGAGGAGCCCTGAGTGTTGGGGATGAAGGACAGCGCTGGAGGCTCCACCTTCTGCCCTTCCCTCCCTCCCCTCCCCCTCCCCCTCTCCCCCTCCTTCCTTCCCAGCCCTCCGCAGCAGCTCAGTGCTCAGTCAGTCTCGGGCTGTCCGGCCAGGGTGGTTGGTGGTGAAGTTTCAGGCTCCGTCCTGACGAGGCCGTGGCCTGAGGCTCAGGGCCCCCCAGCCCCTCCCTCCCAGCCCACCAGCGTCACCCCCCAGCCCCGAGCTGGACCGCACACCTTGGGACACGGTTTTCCACTTCCTAAGGACGAGCCCCAGACTGGAGGAGAGGTCCGAGGAGGTGAGTGAGTGCGCAGACCGCTCCTCGGCTCCTGCCTTCCTGGGCCCGGGCCTGGGACCCTGCGGTGGGGCGTGGGTGGAGAGAGACTGACACCCGCATCTGCCCCCCATCCAGCTCCTCTAGACCCCATCGGGGGGCAGGCAGAAGGGAAGACGGAAAGGTGAGAGAAAAGGTGGGAAATTCCAGGAGCCAGGATTAGAGCAGAATAAAGAGTCCGTTTTTCTTCCTTTCCATCAACAAACCTCCACCCAAAAAGAGGTTTAAAAAAACCCAAACCCACCCACACCAAGAGACGGTTGGGACCAGGTGGTGGGAAGACGCGGAGGCGGGCGCTAGGAGGCCGAGCCCGGGTCTGGCATGTGCGCGGGCCCCAGGGGCTCTAGAGAGTTTAGGGGGAGCCGAGCGGGCGCCACCTCGGGGCTGTGCCCGCGTCGCGTCTCTGGCTGCCGTCGGGGCTGCGCGCTCGGCCGCTCCATCGCGCCCTCCTTCCCGTCCAGGTGGGCGTTGGACTCTTCGCAAGGACCCCGGCGGCGGGCCCCGGGGAGGCGGCCGAGGCGGCGGCGGCCGGGGGCGACATGGCGGAGGAGCAGGACCTATCCGAGGTGGAGCTGAGCCCCGTGGGCTCCGAGGAGCCCCGCTGCCTGTCCCCAGGGAGCGCGACCTCGCTGGGGCCCGACGGCGGCGGCGGCGGCGGCGGCGGCGGATCGGGCCTGCGAGCCAGCCCGGGGCCCGGCGAGCTGGGCAAGGTCAAGAAGGAGCAGCAGGACGGCGAGGCGGACGATGACAAGTTCCCCGTGTGCATCCGCGAGGCCGTCAGCCAGGTGCTGAGCGGCTACGACTGGACGCTGGTGCCCATGCCCGTGCGCGTCAACGGCGCCAGCAAGAGCAAACCGCACGTCAAGCGGCCCATGAACGCCTTCATGGTGTGGGCGCAGGCGGCGCGCAGGAAGCTGGCCGACCAGTACCCGCACCTGCACAACGCCGAGCTCAGCAAGACGCTAGGCAAGCTCTGGAGGTGAGCGCCCCCGACTCGCCTCCGGGGAGCTCCCGCGGGCCCCCTAGCTGCGGGTGGATTCAGGCTAGACGGGCACTGCCCGGGGCCCTTCTCGCGGGGGCAGCCACCGCTTTGATGGGACTGGAAGACCAGGTGTGGGCACTGGGCCCGCCCTTCCCCCCACGAGTACCCCCTTGAGGTGGCACTGGCTTAGAAGTCCAGCGGCCTAGGCAAGGCTCCCCACCCGGGGCAGCGGACCGGAGGGCGCCCCCTCGTGGTTGGAATTCTGTCGGTGGCAGGCGAAGGGCCTGAGCTTCTTGCTGGGGGGGTGAAGGCGAGAGGGAGGGGAGGATCCCGAGGGCCCCACTCCAAAGGCCTTCACCAACGGCTTTCCCGCCAGCACAGCACACTCTCATCGGGTGCCACCGCCACCAGCCCCAGTGGTCAGGGGGATGCCGGAGAAATGCTTGGGAAAGAACTGAAGGCCTGGCTGGAGAGGCAGGGAAACTAAGGCAGCCAGATGGAGAACTCGGGGGCAGTTCAAGGAAAATAAGGAATTCAGACAGGAGTCTTTGAAAGAGTGAAGGATGGAGAACTGCCAAGGGCAAATCTGTCACTGCAGGATCCCGTCCTGTCCCAACTACCTTCATCGTGCCTTCCTTATCCTCCCCTCCTTTGGGGGCTCGTCTCCTTATCCTCTAGGGAAGGGGACACACAGAAAGAAGTCTCCCCTCCCACCCTGCCCCAGAGCTGCCAGGCCTGCCTCTCTCTCCCTTCCTCCCCCAGTCCGGCGCCATCTTCTTTCGCAGGGCCCCACCCAGCGTTGAGTAACCTCCTACCCCTCCAGCCCCAGAGCCCTGGCCAGGAGGAAACCTTGGCCCCTCTTCCTACCCAGCTTGCCTCAGAGGCCTCGGTTCCCTGGGTCCAGCCCAAACCTCTGGAGGAAAACATGCCCCTCAAAGAGGAAGTCTGCCACCCCTCACCTCAGGTCTGGGGCTCAGTCTGGCCCCTTGGGTTATGTTGAGCAGGGTAACAACCTTGGGTTGTGTTGAGGGTGGGACACCTCCCACCTCAGGTGTCCTGGGCAGCTCAGAAAAAGAACAGGGGTTCCAAGAGATGCAAGCCTGCAGAGACCACCAGATTCCCCACTAGACTGCCCAAGAGACAGGCCTAGAAAGGCAAAGGGACCTCAAAGGCCACAACACAGCCGGTGGCAGAGCAGGGCCAGAACCCAGTCTCCTAACTCTTTGTCTCCTGGTCTTCCCCCACACTGTCCTTGGTGACAGTGGTGGGTCACCCCTTCGCTCTAAAGTGTGATGGGGGAGGGGGAGGGCAGAGAAGGGGAGAGCAGGAGTGAGGCGCACCTGAGTTTCAGAAAGTGGGGGCTTCTCAGAGGAGCCGGCCTCCCTCCTGCTGTTGCCCACCCCTTCTGGGCCCCAGCATAATGGAGATTGGGCCTAGAAGGCCAAAGGTTTAGGGTAATAGAAGAAGCAAGAAGGTCCCCCAAGAGACCCAAGAGGGATTCACATCCAGCCCCGTGACCCCATGTGTTTGCTGATGGCGTGATGCCCCTTCATCTCCCCGACTCAGCCCTTAGCACTCTGCTCATCCTGGGCAGGCAGGCTCTGGGCTTAGTGGCCAGCCTGCTGTGTCGACTCAGAGGCTCCAGCTCTGCCCAAGAGCAGAGGTCAAAACTAGCTCCTCTGCCCAAGGTCCATCTGCACCGGGGTAGGGCGCAGCCCAGGCCAGTACCCTTGGTGCTGTGGGACAGAGAAGAGCAAATGAGAGACAGACAACCAGGAGGGAGACAGACAGGCAGGTGGAGCAGGCCTGGGGGATCAGTAACAGACCACAGCACCAGCCCAGTGGCAGCATCAAAGCAAGGATGGACCCCCACTTCTCCCTCAACCCATTGCGAAGGATTTAAGACTGGACCCTCCATTGTCCCTGTCCCTATTCCCCCAGCCCAGAACCCTGGGCTTGGGCTCTCTCGGGGGGACTAGTTTCTGGCCATCACTGATTGGCCCCAAGGGCCAGTCTAGTATAGGGCCATCAGGAAAGCGGACACTGCTTGCTCAGGACCCAAGCCCAGGGGTAGGAGGGTGGCAGGACAATGACAAGGATGAAAGGCTATGCCCACAGGTGGGTGGGACACCTGGATCCTGGGTGGGGGCCCCTCCTGAAATCCCTCCCAGGCCTCCAGGAAGGGGGCTGGGCTAGACAGGCAGAACTGGAAAACAGGGCCCTAAACCCAAAAAGAGAAAGACATGAGGACAGACAGCTTGGGGTGCTGGAAGTAGGTTGGGGTCGGACACACCAGCGTCCAGGTCCTGGCTCCTAAGTGGCTATGTGAGCTCTGACAGTCAGGCTAATCTTCAGGGCCCGCCTGGGAAAGGACTGTTGGATGCTGATCACATGCTGACGGTTGTACATTGGTTGACGTGCCCAGAGAGAGTAATTAGACCCCAGAGACTAGAAAGGGGGTCACAGGCTGGAGCCTCTCCTGACCCCCAAGTCCACAGGCACCTTCCCTGACAGGAAGAACAGATGGAACAGCAGCCGGTGCCCCCACCTTGAGAGCCTCCCCGCCGCCCCCCCCCGTCGGGATTTCCAATTTGTAGGGGTAACCAGCCTACCCTCTCCTGGCCCCTCTTCCAAACCTTGGAGACCTAGAGGACGAAGGCCAGGTGGAGAGCAAATGAAGATCAGGTTTGCAGTTAGAGTTCTGGGTGACGTGGGGGCCTGGAGGGCAATGCTGAGCGAGGCTGGTGCTGGGGTCAAGATTATATTTGAGGTGGTTTACTTGGTGGGGGCAGGACGGGTATGGGGTTAGGAGAGAATGAGCAGAGCTGAGGTTGGGGTCAGGGCTTGGAGGCTCGTTAGGCAACTGTAGCCGCTGAAGGACAGTTGAGGGACCGGGCTGGGGTGGGGGCTGAGGGCTGGGGGTTGGGGGGGGCTGGGGGTCAGGATTCTGTCAAGGTTAGAGTACTGCTGGGAACTAGCAAGGGAGGCGACAGGGTGTGCTGTGTTTGAATCTTCCCTCTCTCCATGCCCCCTACTGTTTTCTGATTCACACCCAGTTGCCAGCTGGACAGAGGGCACAAGGAAGGTTTGGGGTAGGAGAGGAAGCTCAGTGTCCTCAGCCATTCCAGAGCCTCTGTGCTGGGGCCTTTGGCTACGGGCTGAGCCTGCTCTGCGCCCTCTAGTGCGGCTCTCTCCCCGCCCCCCAACACACACACACACACACACACACACACACACACACACACACACACACACACACACACACAAACACACACACACACACACACACCCCTTCGGGGCCAGCCCCTCTCTGCTGGCCAGCCTTCCTGAGGCCTGGCTGGGGTGGGGATTGGGGTGGGGGGTTGGCCTGCATGGCTGGGGGAGGAAGGCTGGAGCCCACTCCCTCACCCCAGAGGAGGCACTGGTCTGGGGTCTTCATGCCATCACTCAGCTAGAGGGACCCTTGGAGAAAGCTGCCTTAGGGCTGGGTTCTGGCAGCCTGGGGGGAGGGGGCGGCGGGGTTGGGGGGGGAGGCTAAGCTGCACAGGAATGCTGCTGCCGGCTAGGAGGTGCCTGGTATGACCACCCCCTCCCATCCTGGGCAGGAGGGCTAGGCCTTCCTGACTGGGGGAAGAGGGCACCCACTGGGGAGGGGGTGGGCAGCTGGAGAGAGAGGCCCTTTGGGCAGGACAGAGTCGTGCCCACACTGTCCCTCACGTCTAGGATCCTATGAGTTTGTTCTTTCCCCTCAGCCCCCCCTGCAAGGTACCCTATTCTGCCCTCCTCACCCAGGGGCACGGGGAGAGGGTCTGTCGGCCTCTGTCCCAGGGTCTGGGAAGAAAGTCTAGCTTCCTCTAGCCTCTGTCACCCCCTGGACAAGGAGATATGATCTCCCCCAGGATGCCGTGACCCCGCATAGCGAAGGGGACTTACATCCAGCCCCTTTGGCCACACCACACTGGAATTCACAAAATGAGCATTCCAGAGTTGAGAGGGCCCACCCCAGGTCCTCCTGCCCAAGCCCCCCAGCAGTAGTAGAACAGCACCTGTTTCTCAAGGTGCCCGCCCTCCATCCCCAGGCCTTGTGCAAAGTGCTTCACACCCAGGACCTTGGCCAATCCCACCCCCAGTGAAGTAAGCATTATCATCCTCATTTGATAAGCAAAGAAACTAAGGCTCATAGAAGTGATTTGCCTGTGGTCACACGGCTAGCCAGTAGCAGAGACTGGACTCTTCCCCCTCACTACACTGTTGCTCAGTTTGCATACCTCCAGCTCCAGTGAGCTCACCACCTAAGGAGGCAGCCAGCTCTACCTGCAGACAGCTTTGATAATGAAAATTTTTTTTCTTTCCTTGAACTGAAGCTCTGTGTCAATCAAAAGATCTATTCCTGGGGCACCTGGGTGGTTCAGTCAGTTAAGCATCTGACCCTTGGTTTTGTCTCAGGTTGTGAGCTTCTCCTGACTCCTGGGGTCGAGCCCCAACCTTGGGCTCCTCAAGCAGAGTCTGCTTGTCCCTCCCCATCCCCCTCTGCCCCCCCCCCCATCGCTTGTGTGCTCGCACTCGCACGCACGCTCTCTCTCTCTCTCTCTCTGTCTCTCTCTCTCCCGGGTAAATGAATAAATCTTAAAAAAAAGAAAAGAAAAAGCTCTATTCCTACTTCTAACTCCATCTTCAGGGTTGCCAGGAGCAGCAGGCTGACCCCTCTCACACCCCAGCCCCTGAGAATTTAGGGACAGAGATCAGAGCCTTCCGAGCCTGTGGTTCCTTAGGCCTCACTTGCTAGTTTGTAAATCAAAGAGCAAGCCCCTGCCCTGGGCCCTGCCTGCCCTCTGGGCTTGCCATCCCCAGACCTCATTTGTTTGAGGGCAGAGACTCACGCTGGCCCCTCTCCTATCTCCCCCAACTGTACCACCCCAGGCTGCTGAACGAGAGTGACAAGCGCCCCTTCATTGAGGAGGCGGAGCGGCTCCGGATGCAGCACAAGAAGGACCACCCGGACTACAAGTACCAGCCCCGGCGGCGGAAGAACGGGAAGGCGGCCCAGGGGGAGTCAGAGTGTCCTGGCGGGGAGGCGGAGCAGGGCGGGGCTGCCGCCATCCAAGCCCACTACAAGAGCGCCCACCTGGACCACCGGCACCCGGGAGAGGGCTCCCCCATGTCAGACGGGAACCCCGAGCATCCCTCAGGTGAGCGCTGGGCTGATGAGCTGTGGGTGGAGAGAGCCTGGGCACTGGGGAGAGGCGAGGTCTGGCTGCTGTGAGACCGGTACCCACAACCGGCCTGGGGGCTGGGGAGGCCGCCAGGCTGCACAGTAGCCCCAGCTGGGGTGCAGGGTCCCGGAGGGAGCTCGGTGGGAACTCAGACGCCAAAGGAAGTGGCTGGGCATGATGGCTCGGGCTGATGGAAGAGGGTGCAGCTGCTGAGTGAAGAGGCCAGTTAAGGAGGCCGTGGAGGCCAAGGGGTGAGTTACAACCGGAAAAGCAGAGACAGGATGATTTTGAGAAATGGGAGATCAGATGCAGGAGAGATCATTGCCGGGAGCCACAGCATGTGATGTGGAGCAAGTGCCACGGAGGGGCCAGACATAGGGCATCTCGTTGCATTTGCATTTATGAAAGTAGCAGCTAACATTAATTGAGCACCTACTGTGTACCAGGCACCCTAATTGCCTTATGTGTATTAACTCATTCAATCACTCTGAGCTGTGATGAGGCAGCCACACTGCCTGGGCTCAGACTTGAGCTGTGTGACAAGTGACTCCCATGTCCTAGATGAGAAAATGGGCACAGCTGAGTCTGAGCCCAGGCAGCTGGACTCTGGGGCCTCTGCCAGCACCAGGACTGCCTCGCTCATGTTCGTACAGCGTACAGAATGCCATCCGTGGGCTCGGGCACACAGGAAGTCTCCGTAAGCACACTTCTGCCCTCAGGAGACATGCCCGAGTCCTCCTTTGTGCCAGACCTGGGAGCGGACACCAGAAGCACCAAAAAGAGAAGCTCCCTGGTCTCAGAGGTCCACAGTCTAGAGGGAGGAGTAGGGATGAAAACGAATGAAGAAGAAACAAGTGTGCATGAAGCCTGTACCTTCCAGAAGGAGGCCATGTCTGAGCCGCTTGGTATCATCTCTGTTTTACTGATAAGGAGACAGGTTAGAGAAGATGGGCATCTTCCCAGGATCACACAGTAAGTGATAGAACCAGGATTCAAGCCCAGGCGGCTCTCAAAATCCAGAGCACTTGGCCAGTGCAGGACCTGGCATCGCCTCTGGTCTGATGAGGGAGACATGGGCCGGCCCTCAAGGAGCCTCCAGTCTCACAGACCATGGACATGTTCTCTCCCTGATGGGATTCCCCAGTCCGGCTGTCTCTCCCACACACTTACATACCTTACCTTCAGAGATTCAGGGACACACCACACACACACACACACAGAGCAGAAGACCCCAGACCACATACCAAACAGCCACCTCAGAATATAACTGTGGGCATGGGCTTTTTCTCAGCCCTCAAGGCCCAGCTCAGCTTCCTCTCCTCAGGGAGACCTTCCCCAGGTCCCCAGGACAGGGTGGGTGGCTTCCTCCTCTGGTCTCCTGAGCCCTCCAAATATCCTGTCACTTACGATGCTGCCCTCCAGTTCTGTGTGAGTCTCTGGATCCTCCACCAAGACTCTTGAGCTTGTGAAGATAGGACCCATTTTATTTATGTTTGTATGCCCTGCACCTGGCACCGTGCCCCCTAAGCATTTGCTGAATGAATATGTGAACGAGAAAAGAGAGGAACAGGGGTGGAGCAAGTCAGCTATCTAAGGGTCCTCCTGATCAAGCAAGGAAAAGCAGCTGGAGGGACGAGGGGCAGCACAGCTGAGCGAGAGGCTGGTGGGGTGGAGTCAGAGGGAAGGCTTCCTGGAGTGAGGGGCCCTTGAGCTGGCTTTGGGAGAACGGATGGGGCTAGAGGGGACACATGGCTGTTTGGGGGCCAAGGGTGGGGGGGTGGGGGAGGAGGTACAGGCAAGCTAGCCAAAGTGAAGCAGTCAATAGCGATGAGGGCAGGCGAGGTCAGCAGCAAGGAGAGCAGCAGGCAGAAGCCAAGCATGCGCTCAAGAGAACAGGCACGCACAGAGCGATGGGCCAGACCCGTCAGGGTGGACAGCTAAGGGGCAGTGGGAGCAGGGAAGGAAGCCGACTTCAGCTGATATGAGGAACAACTTCCCAACAGGGAAGGTTTTTCAAAATGCAGCAAGCCTGTCTAGGAGGTGGGTGACAGAGGGAGTCCTGCTCTGGGGGGGAGAGGCAGACGCACCCCTCAGAATGGGGAATTTCAGAAACAACTGGAGACCAGCCCTAGACTGTTACAGAATTAAGTGCCAACTCGGGCTGCCCAAACACTGTAAAGCTTACAAGGTCATGCAGTGATCCATCCTCGGCCTCATGGAGGCATCTTTTCTGACGGTGAACCATCAGAATCCAGAAGCCTCTGACCTCGCTTCCCACTTTCTTTCTGTCTCCCTTTCACCCAGGCCAGAGCCATGGCCCACCTACCCCTCCGACCACCCCAAAGACAGAGCTGCAGTCGGGCAAGGCAGACCCCAAGCGGGATGGGCGCTCCATGGGGGAGGGCGGGAAGCCTCACATCGACTTCGGCAACGTGGACATCGGTGAGATCAGCCACGAGGTAATGTCCAACATGGAGACCTTTGATGTGGCTGAGTTGGACCAGTACCTGCCACCCAATGGGCACCCGGGCCACGTGGGCAGCTACTCGGCAGCCGGCTACGGGCTGGGCAGCGCCCTGGCTGTGGCCAGTGGACACTCCGCCTGGATCTCCAAGCCACCAGGCGTGGCTCTGCCCACGGTCTCGCCACCCGGTGTGGATGCCAAAGCCCAGGTGAAGACGGAGACCGCGGGGCCCCAGGGCCCCCCACACTACACCGACCAGCCATCCACCTCACAGATCGCCTACACCTCCCTCAGCTTGCCCCACTACGGCTCCGCCTTTCCCTCCATCTCCCGCCCCCAGTTTGACTACTCTGACCATCAGCCCTCAGGACCCTATTATGGCCATTCAGGCCAGGCCTCTGGCCTCTATTCGGCCTTCTCCTACATGGGGCCCTCGCAGCGGCCCCTCTACACGGCCATCTCTGACCCCAGCCCCTCAGGGCCCCAGTCCCACAGCCCCACACACTGGGAGCAGCCAGTATATACGACGCTGTCCCGGCCTTAGAGGGGGCCCTGTCATCACCACCCTGCCCGGCCCCTCTGGGTAGCACACCCCTTCCCCCAGCCCTTGTGCCCTGTTCCTCACCTATCTCAGGCCTGGTGGTGGCTGTGGAGGAGGCTGCAGAGGCTGACAGCTGAGGGAAGGCTTTCTGTCTGGCTCACCACCTTTGATGACCCCACCCCGTCCTATTCAGGCTCCAGCCCAGGCGAAGCCCTGGGCTACTAGGCTGGGCAGAGGAGAAGGAGGTTGACTGTCGCCCCTAGAATGAACGATGAGGGGCTGCACCTTCCCCCCAGGAATGACCCTCATCCCAGGACCTGAGAAAGACCCGCTCACCCTCCTCTGGGAGTAGGGGAGGCATCCAGGGTCAGATGGGAATCGGAGGCCCTGCCACACCTGTGCCCGTGTTTGCGCTCTCATGGAGAATGAGGGGTCTGACATAATCCGTGCCACTTGGGCCATGTGCCTAAGGTCAAAGCCGGCCAGAGACCTGCATCAGTGCCTACAGTGGGCTACAACTGCCCCTCGGGGGCTGAGGACAGCTTTGAACAGCTTTGGGGGGGATCTCAGAGGGAGGGCTCCTCATCCCCTCAGGGCCCCCTCCCGTTCTGAACACAGGGAGGAATTGGCACAGAGGCCTCCAGATGCAATTCTGTGCCAATCACGTCATTCTTTGTCTAACGGAGAAAGAGCACCCCGGCCCTACTCCACTACAACCTCCCAGACCTTGAGGCACCTCCCCGATGAGGAGGCAGGGGCTCCAGGAAAGGATTCAGAGACAACTCACAGAGCCTTCCTCCCAGGCTCCCCGCCAACTCCCTCTCCCCTCACCAGGCTCTGCGGTCCCTGCTCTGTCAGCCCCAACTCCTCGGGCTTCCCAGAGCGTCATAGCTGCTCAGGCCCCAGCCCTCAGCTCCAGGAGGAGACACAGGGCCTGGCACCCAGGTTGCTGGCAGCAGGCTGAAGACACTAAACTCCTGACATGTACGTTCTGCCCTGGCCTTTTGCCCTTTGCCTCCAGTGGTATTTGAATAAAGTATGTAGCTCTGTCTGCCCCTATTTTCCTGTTCCGCAGCCCCCACAGTCCACATGTAACTCATTACTGCCCCCCTTATTTATCTCAGTAGAACCCTCTCCCCTCTCCCCTCCTCCTAGGTACTCCAGCCCCTATTAACTCTGCATTAAGCATTCCACATAATAAAATTAAAGGTTCCGGTTACCTGCTTGGTGGGCCTGGCCTGGCCTGTCTCTTGGTCTCTTATCCCTGCACTTGTGCTTCCTCAGAATCTCTTTCTGGAAGTAGCTAGGGGTAGAATGCAAAGGACAGATAATGCAAAGGTCTCCTCTCTCCCGTGAGAAGGTGGGGGCCCTGCAGTGTGTTGGGACAACTAGCATCCAAAAAGGGGTCAGTGGGTGCCCAGGGTTGAGGCCTCCGCTGGGAGCTCTCTCCCAGCCCAGCTGTGCCCATACTGCAGGTGGGCCACTTGCCGTTCCAGCTGGAGCTCAGCAAGAGCACCTTCGGAGTAGCCCCTTTCACTTGTCCAGCAGAGGGGTGGGGCTTGAAAGAACTCAAGGCACACGTATTTGAAAGAGGTGGGTCAAGCCTGACATCTGGCTGCCTGCAGCCAGCGGGCCTGTCCGTTAGGATGTGTGGACTCTCACTGCCCCCCTCTCTGTGCCTCCCCTCCGCCAGCACACATACACCCCTTGGTCTGCTCCGGGATCTAGCCGAGTCTTCATGGCAGTTGCCTGTGTCTGGGTGTGAACCCAGGATGGCAGACACGCAACCTCATCCTTCATTGCTCATTCCCTAAGAGTTCTCCCTTCGGTGGAATTCCAACCTGTGCTCAGGGGCAGAGGCCACTCCTCAGGGACAAGGGAAACCTCTACCGCCATGCTCCACTCATGGATGGCTCTGGGGTTGGAAGTCTCCCTTAGACCCGGCTCCTAACGACAGTAACAGCTCCCGTGCCCTGAGTGCTCCCTGACCAAGTGCTCTGTCGAGCGCTTTATTATCATTCAGGCCCAGGAGAGAGTGGGTCCACTCGTTATCCCTATTTCCCAAGTGGGTGGCTAAAACTTTGAGAGGTTGATGCTAAGAAGCACTGGTACCAGAATCTGCAGCCAGCTGACTCCAAAGCTTGTCACCTCTTTCACCCTGCCCATGGCTTGCAGGCCCCACTTCTGCTTGTCATCGGGAGTGATGCTTCTTCCGCTGCTCCAGACCAGCATCCCCAGCTCCCTTATCTTGTTTCTTCCATCCGTGGGCTCCAGCCCCTCACCGCCTAGTCAGGACCTGGGGTGGGGCAGGGAGCACCAAGAACTAGCCCAGTCCCCCAGGCTGGACACACTCCCATCTGGAAGCTGCGTCATGTGGGCTCTTCCGTCAACTTCAGCCACAACCACTGGCTCCCATGAAGCTTAGTGGTAACTACAAACCCCTGTTCTTGTAGATATATCTGCTGCCAAGTCAGATCACCCCAAACTGTATAGAAACTATTTTCTGGTGTTTTCTTTCGTTGTGTTGTGGATAAAGGCAGGATTTTATACTGATTTTTAACAGATTTCATCTTGTTGGATTTGACCATTTTCCCCCCTACACTCAGTCTTGGAATTCTGAATCCAACTTACTGGCGCTCCTTCTGAGCTTTAAATATCTGCAAACTTGAATAACCTTATTCAAGTCACTAACAAAAAAGGTTGAAATGAAGAGAGACAGGCCCACATGCACCACTAAATACTTCTCCATTATCAATTCTATTACCTACACTCTTAGGGAAAGACTGTCCAATCAATTTTGAACCTAACTATATCATCACAAGTACAAACTTCTCTGTCGTAGCTATGTGGAAAGACTGCCTGATGACTTGCTAAAATCAAGATTCGCTGCATCTGTGGCATTCCTCCAACCTACCAGACCAGACCTACCAGACTACTAACCTTTGAGAAAAGGAAATTTGATTCATGTGGCAATATTCTTAGAAACTCTGCTAGCTCCTGGATCTCCTCTTTATTTACCTATGTGTTCTCAAATACGCAACAACCTATTCTAGAACTTTGTTAGGGATCAAGAGTACTAACCTTAGGTGCTCCTAATTTTTACGATCCACCCGTTCCCCTCTACTGCAAAGCAGGTTGTAAGTCCATTTCCAGGTGCTCACCGCTCCTGCTCTCAGTGGGGCTGTGGCCTCAGAGCCAGCAGGGCAGAAGGGAGGAGCTACATCAAGATGAAACCAACACCTCCAGGACCTGCCTCTCAAGGGATGGAGATGGGGATACAGGAGGAAGTAAAATGGCCCCAGAGAGGACAAATGACCTTGGAGAAGTCGGAAGACCTGGCTTGTGCTGACCCCTTTAGACCTAAGGTTCTGGATGTGCTTGGGCCTCAGTAAGGCAGTGGCTCCATGTGTGGAGAGATGGGGCCAGGTGTTTCTGGAAAGGATTGAAGAGGCTGTGCCCAGGCCTGGCCAGCTGAGCAGCAAGGAACTGACTCCACGAAAGAGGAGCAGGATGGGAAGGGAGAGACAGGAGGAAAGCCACCCCTTTCTCCATCTCCCCCACACCCTATCCCCTAAGGGTTAACCCCCTACTCCCTCAGCCCCTTCTCTCTTCCCCCGCCCAAACCCCATCTCCCTTTAATCACATCTGATACTGAGCAGCCCAGCAGGAACAAAGAGACCATTTAGAGAATCGGGGCCGAGAAAGTGACCCCGCACTCCGGGGCGGCCGCCTGGACGCCAGCACAAAGGCGGCATTTCAGAGCTGGAATTTCAGCACCCTACTTGATTAAAGGACTCCACAGGCTTGGAGGAGGGAGGAGGGGGGTGCAGAGTCCACCGCTCCCTGGATTAACCCTTCTCCAGAGCGGCAGACACCCCTCCCACTCCTGGGGACACTCGTCACTCCCACTCTGTCCATGGTGCGCCCACCCCGGAGGCCCTGCCTCTTGCAGAGGTCAGGCAAGCCCGCTCCTCTTCTTCCTGGAAGGGGAACCGGCAGCAGAATGGAGGTCAAGGCTGGAATATTCAGGGAGCCAACTTTGCCTCTATCTCTGTTGGTATCAATATACACCCTCTCCCTGTCCCCCCAAGGGAGGGAGGAAGCAATGGGATTGGTCTTACTGCGGGTTGGGGTAAAGCAGGCTGAAGAGAGCAGGACCCAGAACCTAGGGCAGAGGAAGCGCCAGTCTCGACTTCATGTCACACCTGGAACCCGGGAGCCCTGCTTCCCTGCCCACCGTCATCCCAGTCAAGGCCTTGGAGGGGCACGGGCCCTACACAGAAGGGAAAGGACATCCTGCAGAGGTGGGGAAGGAGAGGGGATGGGTGTGGCAGACCAGAAGGCCATGGAGGACAGCGGCCTGAGGAGTGGGGACAGAGTGGGGACAGGTGTTCGGTCCTTGCTACAGCTGCTGCCTTGCCCAGCAGGGCTCTGCCTGTGGAGGGCGGGAGATCACTGCATCCCCAAGCTTCCTGCTGGGGCACTAGCTCCTGAAAGGGGATCCGAGCCCACGATAAGAGGCTCGAGGCAGGTCCTCAGGAAACAATGGGTGTCTTGATGAGACCTGCTCTGTGATACTCCTGAGAAGGGAGAAGCCCCTGCAGCCAGTCCCCACTGGAAAGGAAATTGGGGGTTTCCGTGGCAACCAGCTCCCTGGGCACAAAGACTTGTCTGTCTGCTGGGAAGGCAGCTGAGGTGTCTCCCTGCAGCAGCCTTTGCGCTGGTGAGCGGGGAGATGGAGGGAGGGATGTGGGGGATCCACAAGGAGTAAGGCCCGTGGTGCTCCTCAGCGCCGACGGTCACAGTGCCACACGAATGGCAGGCAGCAGGGCAGTAACAGGGAAGGAGCGAGTGGGCATCACAGAGAGCTAGAGGCAGAGCAGGGTGAAAGGTTGAACAGTTTATTATTTACATGTATAAAGAATGTGAAAACAGAAACTAGGATGAGGCACAGTCAGGAAGATGATTCCAGCTCAGTCGGTGATGATGAGCTCGTCCACCCCCCAGTCTTCATAGCTCCCGTCTGGCAGGTAGCGGCGAATGATGATGGGGATCTTTCGGGCCCTGTGGCGGGGAGAAGTCACAAGTATATAAGGGTTGATGACCCCAGCTCTACAGCAGATGGGACAGACTGTGTGCAGAATGCCAAAAAAGAGAAGTCTTAGCAGCAACCTTTTGGGACTATGAGGGCACTCTGTGGGAAAGAAATTACAATAAAAAGAAAGTTCCTGCATCCCTGAGTGTGGGACAGTGGGTCCAGAAAGGCTCTGCCATCTTATGGCTGAAGGGAGAAAGAGGAAGCAGGTTGGGATACTGTAAAGCCAAGGGCAGCAGGAAGAGGGAGATTTCGACAGACAGGAGAGGACCGTGTCTCATTAAAGCCCTCCCTCTTCACCTGCCCCTCCCACCGCTCTTCACAGCGGGCCTCCTGAACAAACTAAGGACCTACAGGAACAAGAATCAAAACCTCCCCAGCCAGGGATGTGGGGGTGGGGGTGTGCAGCAGAGAGGCCAAGGGATGCCTCCCAGGGCTCTGAAGCAGTGAACCACGGTCTGGGCGACTTACTTGAGCTCTTTCATGGCGATGAGCAAGGGATCTGTCTCCCCCTCCAGCTCCACCATCACAGGGGCACACATCCTGTAGGTATAGGGACACGTGTTGGGGGAGAAGGGCCCAGCAGGAAGACGGGGGGGGGGGTGCTCACTTCACAAATAGGATCAGATCAGCACCCCAGTCCTCCCTGAGAAAGGTCACCTTCTAGGGAGGCAGGCAAGCGTGGGGGGTGGGAAGGGGCTCGGCGGCACTGCCGCAGGAACTATAAGCAAGTGGGAGCCAGAAGACTGGATTTAAATTTTGCCTCCAGAGACACTGAATTTCTCTCCAAATCTCAGTATCCTCACTCAAAAATGGGAGACAAAGAGCCCTGACTTGCCTACAATGACATGAAAACACTACTGGCTAACCTAGTACCATATGCTGTTCTCAGCTCTTTCCATAGAGGATCTCATTTGAGGTGAGGACTGCTATAATTTCCATTTTACAGAGGAGGAAACTAAGGAACAGAGAGATCAGTGATTTGCCCAGGCTCACAGAGCCAGTAAGTGGCAGAGCCAAGACTGGAATCTCATATGCTCCTACCCACTATGCTGTAACACCTCCCATTAATAAACTAAAGATCCATAAACTTGGGGACGCCTGGGTGGCTTAGTCGTTTAAGCGTCTGCCTTCGGCTCAGGTCATGATCCCAGGGTTCTGGGATCGAGCCCTGCATTGGGCTCCCTGCTCATTAGGGGGCCTGCTTCTCCCTCTCCCTCTGCCACTCCCCCTGCTTGTGCGCGCACTCTCTCTCTCTGTCAAATAAATAAATAAAATCTTTAGAAAATAAAAATAAAGATCCATAAACTTAAGAAACGTACTGTGAACAGGGCGCATGTAGGCTTTCAACACTGGGCCATATGACATTCTTATTGTCAGCTCCCTTGCCAAGGGCCTTCCACAGACTCCTGAGCCTGGCACCCATAGCAGAGTATTCCAGCACAAAGGATTGGCCATGCAAAGGCTAGCTCTAACCCAACTCCTCAGGCCTGCCTCAGGGCCCAGCCAGCTCATTTTCCTTCTCTATCCAGGCAACACCCCTCAGGGTCTTGCTCTTCCAACCTCCACACAGGGCCTGTGGTCAGATGCTCACCTCTTTACAACCCTCCCACGACACCCCAAGGCCATCAGGCAGAACCCAGTCTGCTCACCTTTCTAATAGCACCTTCTCCTGCTACTTGCCTATACTTATCCCACGTTCCCGCCATACCAAACTCCCATGGTTCCCCGGACACACCTTGCTGACTCCCTCCTGCATCCTCTTATAAGCTCTTCTGCCCTTACAAACCTGGGAGAGGCTCACATTTCTCTACTCTGGCAATCCTCTGCCCTGGAATCCCTACTCTGGCAATGCTCAGTGCCCTGACGCATTTCACATAATCTTCTCAATCTCCCTGTACTGTAGCTGCTTATTTGAAGTCTTCTGCATTAGACCATGAGCACCTGGTGGCCCGGGACCACACGCCCTAATACAACACTCGGCCCGCAGCAGAGGTTCTCAAAATGAACAGGAGGAATGCCAATCCTAGGCCTACCTCCTCTAGGAAGCCACCATTCATGATTTCAACACAAGTTTACACAAATGGATCCCAAACCCGACAATCATCAGAATTACTAGGAGAACATGCTAAAAATACAGGCTCTCAGGTCCTGCTCCAGACTCTCTGAATAGAAATTCTAGTGAAGCCTGAGAACCTGCATTTGAAAGCTCACCAGGTGATTGTGATCATAGCCAGTCTGAGAGCCACCAGTTTACACAATGTAATTTACTAATTTTATTATTATTTTGATTTCTGTTACTCCCCAAAGCCTGAAAATTTCCCAGGGGCAGAGACCAAATGTTTAACTTTCCCTATATCCCCTCTCAAGTATTTAAACTTCCCCAAAATTTAAAGCTTTAAAGAATGTAGCGTACACCTTATTTTCCTGATCTGCGTACACCTTATTTCTTTCAAGATATAAATAATTCAAGTCCATTCATCCAGCCTTGTGCATGCAATGTGGGAATCATGAGTGCGCCCTTGGGTATTTTGTCCTGCACCAGGGACCCCACAAACTTGGCAATGATCCTCAGGAAATGGCTGTGGTAAACATCAGCCGCCAGGTGGTGCTAATGAACCAGAGTGAGACTTCAAAAAAAAATCCAAGAAATGTTTGTACAGCACCTAGAAGGTGCAGGGTCCCATGCCTGGTACTAGGTGACAAGATACAGCCCTGGCTGTCCGAGGGCCTACAGCAAGCGGGGAACCACCAGACAGCGTCCTAGCCCTTACACAGAAGGAGCACAATAGACCCAACTAAGTTGAACCAAGCTTCTCTCTCAAAACAAAGCAGGACACTGGGACTTGGTAGTATACTGAATGTCTACCTCCCAACTTTTAAGTGCCCCACACTGCCCACCAAATGCACGCTGATCCTCTGAACTTGTCCCTCAAGGCACCGGTGACATCTTTTCCAGCCTTCTCCAGCCCAGCTACTTGCCACTCCCCCACCACAATCCATGCCTTGCCTGCCCTTCCTTGTGCTGTCTCTGGCACCTGGGATACCCTCAAAACCACCTGCCTTTACCCATCCTTCTGGGCTCTCCCAAGCACCCCTACAGTGACTCCCTTCCCTCCTTCCTCATGCCTTCCGTAAAGCACGGCGCCCGTCTGCTGTGCGTTCTGCTTCTTTGTGAGCTATCTCCCCCAGCAGGCGGCGAACACCTGGAGGCCTGAGGGCTTGGGGCCATCTGTAGTCAGCCTCACCTCCGCAACAGATGCAAGCACAGTACCTCACTCAGTGCTGAAAGACTTTAAGCTTGCAGAGAATCATTCACTTGTTTGAAAAATAATTTATAAGTTATTCTTTCTGCTGGATCATTTTTAGCCTGGACAAGCGCTGCCCACTGGAATGTTCTGCAATGATGGAAATGTCCTCTATCAGCACTATCCATTATGGAGCCCCTAGCCACATGTGGCTACTGAGCACCTGAAATGTGGCTAATTAGACTGAAAATCTGAACTTTTAGAGGCGCCTGGGTGGCTCAGTTGGCTGGGCATCTGCCTGAGCTTAAGCTCAGGTCATGATCCCAGGGCCTGGGATCGAGCCCTGCATCGGGTTCCCTGCTCAGCGGGGATCCTGCTTCTCCCTCTGCCTGCTCTTCCCTCTTCTCATGCTCACTCTCTCTCTCTCTCTCTCTCTCTCTCTCTCTCTGACAAATAAATAAAATCCTTAAAAAAAATTTGTACTTAACTTAAATGGCCACATGTAGCTAGTGGCTACCATAATTGATGGTATAGACCCAGAGGATCCTGACCCAAAAATTATCAAAATTATCACAGTGAGCGTAGCTCTAATTCCACCCAGACCAGCCAGGAGTACCACCAGGCTAGAGAGAGGTCTACTACTTTGAAGATGAGGAACAGTGTTGCCCACCCATAAAACCCTGTTCAAAGTGGATACGGTGGTCATCTTTACCCCGCAGGGCTAGAGAGGATAAAGCTCAATGCTGTTTGAAAACAAAGAAGGGAACACAGATTAGAATCTCCTCCAGTATGCAGGACTCCACAGAGCTGACCCCAGCTTTTCTTTCTAACCAATTTTCCATTATTCCCTACTTAAAGCACCCATTCCTCCAGATACCCACCATTTCTCACACCAGCTTGTAAGATATTTGGGGTGCGAGTTCATTTCCTCAGCCTGTATTTCCCTGGGGAGGACATTCTATTACAGTAACTACTAACTCCTCCCCAGGAAGGAGGAATAATGACTCCCAAGAGGAGATTCTGGGAGAAAAAGCTGTAACCTGTAGCCCAGCGTCGACAGTCCCTGCTTTCTCAAAGCCACCTGCCTACAAGGGAGAGTGTTTTCAGGTCTGTTCACCCACAACTTTGGCAGGCAGGCTTGCCCCTGCAGACACAGCTCCTGGATGCCTGCACTGCCTACGGCCGACAGGGTGAACATGCAATCATCGGACATTTTGATCTCCACCTGTCTACTGGCTAGTTCCTAAATCTTGTTATTCTTCACCTGGCTCCAAACTTGGGAAGAAAGGAAAGGTCTGATCTGCCTCTACGTGGAGGGCCTCCCCACTCCTCGGGGCTGGCCACAGTCTACCTCAAGAACCACCTTAAGCCAGACAGGTGCTGCCACAGCCCCCTTGACTAACCAGCCCACAAGGGTCTACAGCTCCCTGTATTCACACCTTTTTCTTTCTTTGTTTTGCTTCACTAACCTGACAGGCACTCAAGTTCTGTATTTTTATGTTCCTACTATACTAATTGGGCTTCTCAGATGTTCATGTTCTATTTCTCCCATTGGATCACAAACTCCCTGAGGGCAGGAGTCTAATATAGTGCCTGGCACACAGAGACAGCACCAGCCTTGTTTAGCATGTGAGAGCAGGGAGAGTGTTTCCAGGTGTCTGCTGGGCCACATCAATAGCTCGGAAGCTCACCATGACCTGACCGATGGAAAAGATCACGAAGGGGTATACACTCACGCGATCTGGAGGGCGCGGGTGCCAAGTACACGCGCTCGCTCATACTTCGTCATATACGGTGTGGTGATTCGCTTCTGGTTGGCCTGTGGTCGCTCTCCAGAGGGGAGGATCTCAACATTCTCCTGGCCCTCCTGGACACCAAGAGAGAAAAGACAGAAAGTCTCAGGGAGTATGTTCTGGGTTGAGGGGGAGGATGATGATGACAATGATGACAATCACCACTACCACAATCGCTTATTACATGCCAGCGCTCATGCTGCTGTAGTTAGTGACACCTCATTTAGTCCGCACAATAACGTTACATGGTACGGGTGACAGTGCCCATTTTAGAGGCTCAGAGTGGAAGCTAACTTGGCCAAAGTCTCAGACCTAGTGAAAGAGAAGAACCATGACTGGGATTCCAGAGCCACGTGCCTCATCCAGAAGAGAGAAGCGGACAGCCTGGAGATGGGGTGGTCCCAGAACATTAGCTGTATGCAAAGTCCTTGAGCACAGACAACAAATCTCTCTAAGCAGGAGGCAGGGAGAAAGCACTCCATCTTTCAGACAGGGTAACTGAATCAATAGGTCAAGTGGCTAAAAGTCAAAGTGACGGCAGAAATATACACACATTCACATGCATTCAACATTACCTATCAAGCATCTGTCATGTGCCAAACACCATCATAATGGATGATAAGACAGCAAGCTATGCATTTCTGTTCTCAAAGAATTCAGTCGGGGGGGGGCCTGGGTAGCTCCACTGGTTAGGCGACTGCCTTCAGCTCAGGTCATGATCCCGGGGTCCTGGGATCGATCGGGCTCCCTGCTCAGCGGGAGGCCTGCTTCTCCCTCTCCCACTCCCCCTGCTTGTGTTCCCTCTCTCGTTGTCTCTCCCTCTCTCTCAGTTAAATAAATAAAATCTTAAAAAGAAAAAAAATTCAGTCAGGAGAGGAGATGATGAGTAAACAAAACAGCAGGTGCTACAAAGGGATGCAAGTGTGCAACAAAATTAACAAGAAGCTGGGGGTTAGAAAGACAGTCCAGAGATGAGACTTGAGCTACTTAAGACGAATGAGTAGGAGCTGCTAAGCCAATGAGGAAGAGAAGGGCATTCCAGGCAGGCCGAGTTGCACGCATAAAAGTACAGGGGTGGGAGAGGATGTACTAGTTGTGAAGTATGATTAGAGCAAAAGGTGAGCATAGCGTTTTAGGCAGGAGAGTAAACTCTATAATAAATAATTAGGGGCACTTGGCTGGTTCGGTGGGTAGAGCATGTGACTTTTGATCCCGGGGTCATGAGTTAGAGCCCCATGTTGGGTGTACAGATTATTAAAATCGATAGATAAACTTTTAAAAACAACAAAGAATTAAGTCAACAAATATTTATTGAGTGCTTACTGCGTGTCAGATAGTGTTCTAAGTGCTTGAAATAGAAGAGTAAGACAAATAAAAATTCTTTCCCCTATAGAGCTGACATTATGAGAAAAGATAACAAACAAAATTAACAAGTAAAATATGTAGGATAAAAACAAAAGAAAAATTAAGTAAAATTAAAAACAAAGAGGAAAAAAAGACAGGGAGGGCCAGAATGGGTGTGTTGGAGGAGGCGGAGCATGCTGCCACTTTAAATAAGATGGTCATGGAAGCCTCACTGAGGGGACACTTGGACAAAGGCCTGAAGGAGGTGAGCAGTAGGTCATGTGCATTTCTTACAGGAAAAGCATTCCTGTAAGAGGGAACCAGGTAATCAAAGATCCTGAGCAGGAGTGACCTGGCAGGGACAGCAAGAAGAGATGAGAAAGCAGGTGGCCAGAGCGTGGAGAACCTTGTACCTCTGTTTGGCACTTACTCTGTATAAGATGGGAAACCCCTGGATGAGAGTTCTAAATAGAGGAGAGACACAATTTGACTTAAGATTTAAAGGTATCCCGACAACTGGGTGGCTCAGTCCGTTAAGCATCTGCCTTCAGCTCAGGTCATGATCTCAGGATCCTGGGATAGAGTCCTGCATCAGGCTCCCTGCTCAGCGAGGAGCCTGCTTCTCCCTCTCCCTCTGCCCCTCCCCCTGCTCATGCACACGCACTCTCTCTCAAATAAATAAAGTCTTTAAAAAAAAAAGTAAGATTTAAAGGTATCCCTATGGAAGTTCTGTTGAGAATATTCTGCAGAGCGCAAGGGCAGTTTATAAGTTTATCTATTTATTCCCTCTAGGAAGACCAGTAGTAATCCATCAGGTAAGAGAGACCCCTCTGGCAGCAGAATGGCAAATCAAGCAGTGTAGCAGGAGACTGAAGGCAGGAAAACCAGTAACACATTTCCACAACAAAATGAGTGAAAAGCAATGAAGACCTAAAGCAGGCTGAAGCACTAAGAATGGAGAAACAGAACCAGGGCCGGACCATGTGTGGGAAGCAGAATCAACAGAACAGGGATGGTAGGGCACCAGGAGAATGGGGAGGAGGTTTCTGCTCAGTGAATAGGCACCTGACAGTGCCATGCAGAAAGAGGAAAAACCAAAAAGGGCGGCTTTGGCTTTCAAGCCTAAAAAAACTGAGGGATCGTTCCCTTTATGGGAGCCATAAAGCAGTTCTTCCTCCATCAGTCACAGGACAGAAAGCTCTATGTCTTTCATGAAGTTAGCAACCCATCCACCTGGTTACACAAGCCGGAAACCTGGGGGTCGCCTTTGTCATTTCCCACTTTCTTAGCTCTGTATCCAATCCACCAAAATATGTTTCATCCATTGTCTCATCACCTACATTATGAGCACCCGAGTCCAAGCCACGGGTCTCTCACCTGGATGGAGAGGCTCTAATGGTCTCTTTTACTCCTGCTCCTCCCCAACTCACTCGTCACCCTGAGGCCAGAATGCCCTTTCTAAGGTGTAAACTGGATCGTGCCACTCTCTGCCTCAACACTTGCCGGCGGCTTCCAGTGCCTTTAAGCTAGAAAATCCTGCCTGATGTGGGCCCTTACCTCTCCAGCTTTATCCCAGGTCACTCCCCCGCTTGGCTCCTTACACAAACCCTGCCCACTGGGCACCTAGTACATAATAAACATTCAACATATGCTTGCTGAATGAATAATATTTCACCCATCAGCAAACCAACTGCCCCAAAAGCCACAGGTTATGGCCCACCCTGTAGGACTTTTTCACTACTCAGGACTGGAGCACTGCTCACTCATTCAGACAATTATCACCGACGCTTATTTGGCAGCTTGGGCTGCAGAGGAAGGGAGCCCACAGCTAAATACTGACCTCCTCGGCATTCTCCAAGTCACCTAGCCCTTCATCCTCCTCCACGTCATCAAAGTCGTCGCCATCAAAACTGTGTAAGAAGAAAGGATCAGTTAGTTGGAGCATCACACTAGAATCAAAGAAAAAAGAGATCTCTGTCTCATCCGATATGTAAAAAGGGCTCAATAATAAATAACTAGTTAATGAGTGAATAAAACTTCTGTTCCATTTTACTCCTTCATCCGTACTGCATCAGTCCACAAATTTTGCTAGGACTCATTCATTCACCATCACTGTTTCCCTCTCTCCTGGATCATTCCCATCGACATATAAACATGTAGTTATTTCCCCATCTTAAAAAACAAACAGGGGCGCCTGGGTGGCTCAGTCGGTTAAGTGCCTGACTCTTGGTTTCAGTTCATGATCTCACGGTCATGGGATGGAACCCTATGTGGAGCTCTGCGCTCAACATGGAGTCTGCTTAAGATTCTCTCTCCCTCTCTCTCTCTCTGCCCTTCCCCACCTCTCTCTCGCTCTCTCTCAAATAAATAATCTTTAAAAACAAGCAAAGAAACAAAATTTACTTCTCTTATACCTCCCAGGGCCCTAGTTCCATGCTTCTCTTAGAAGCAAAATTCATGAGAGATGCCCATCTTCCCTGTCTCCAATTCCTCTCTTCCCATTCTGTCATAATCTCACTCCAGTAAGACCTCCACCTCCACAGTTCCAGCAAAACCACTCTTCTCAAGTTCATTAATGACTGCCACTGCTAAATCCAATCGACAATTCCTGTTCTCATTTAGCTTGATCTATCAGTTGGCACACTAGACCACTTCCCCACTCCCCCCCACCACCACTCAATATACCCTCCTCACTTGACTGCAAGGCCTCCTCTCTCTTGGGGTTCCCCACCTCACTGGCTGCTCCATCTCGGTCTCCTCTGCTGGTTTCCCCTTTTCCCACGAGTACTCAATGCTAGAATGCTCTAACAACTCGATCACCAGCCATCTACTCTTCCCTACTGACATTCCCCTGGTGATCTCACCTGATTCTTAGTTTTGACTAATACACTTATGCTGATGATTCCACTATTTTTATCTTCAGAAGAGACTCTCCTCCAACCCCGCACATCCGGAAATCTTCGCGCCCTAGCTTCGAAATCAATCCAGAATTCAAAACCACTTGTCACCACGGCCACTAGTGTCACCCCAGTCCGAGCCGCTACCTTCTTTCACCGAGATTACTGCAACCCTTCCAGACCTTTACCACCCCCGGGTCTCACCACACTCTCCCCTGGATGACCTCGATACCACACACTTCTACCCTCACACGACCCCGTACTATCTGTTTCTGGGCCTGTCCCCTCTCCGGTGAGCAGGGACTATGCCTGATTCACCTCAGTACTCCCATTACAAAACACACAGCCCGGCCCGCTGGAAGTCTGCTGAAAGACCTTTTTCGCGGCTCCTCTCTGGACCCTCGAGTCGGGCCTTTCCGTGCCCAGCCTCCGGCGGGTCTCTGCTCCTGGCTCCCCGCCCTTCCCCTCTCCAGCCCCCCGAACCCCCTCAGCACCCACAGTCCCCTCAGACACTGCCCCTCGAGCCTGGCTCCACAACCTCCTTCAGCCCAGGCTCCCGCTTCACCCGCTCCTTCCGAAGCTCCGGCACTCACTTGTCCTCGTTGTCTGACATGACGCCAGCACCGCCGCCCGCACCGCAAACAGCGTGCCCGCCCCTCGCGCGGCGGCCCGCGTGCTCTGCGCCTGCGCCGTGACCCAGAAGCAAGTACTTCCGGGAGGCAGGCCGGAGCCCTAACTGTGCGCACGCGCCGAGAGGCGTGTGCCCGTTACCATGGGAGCCAGAGCAGCTGGTGGAGGCTCTGGTTGCGGCGATCTGCGAGTATTTGTGCGGGGCCCAGGCGCGGTGCCGCTGCGGAGCTGTGGTTACGGTCCCCCGAGCCCAGCCGCTCTCTGTGGCGGGGGGCAGCCAGCCGGGGTCTTACTTTAGGGTGAGGTTTCAATTTTGGCGTATCCCCCAACGGGCACTGTCCGGACCACTGCTCTCCTAACATCCCCTTCCTCCAGAGACGCTTCCCTGCCGTGGGCGTCGGGTCAGGATGAGGTCTCCGTTCGTGTGTGGGGGTCTGCCTGTGTATCTGTTCGGGGTAGGAGGATAGGGCACTGTCGAGAAATTGACGGCGACGTCACGATTCTCCTGTGGCTCCACCCCCGCTCCCACAATTTGGGTGGCGTTGTGGGGTGCGCGAGCAGAGATTGGACCTAGGAGACGGGTTGTGCCATTGCGTTTTTCCCTCCTCAGAGCCCTCCCATGGCTTCCCAGGAAAGGGTGGAGGCAGTGACCAAAGGAACAGAGTCCTGGCGCTGCCCCAAGCCGGCCACTTACACCCCGGGGACCTGCGAGCTGCTCAGAGGTCAGTGTGTTTAAAGGACAGGAGAAGAGTGGTGATAACAGTTACCCTCTGTTCTCCCCTACATGACCTGTGGCTTAGCAGTTGCTATTGTCATTTTATAGATAAAAAGCCTGGGGTTCAGAAAAGTTCAGGGATCCTACAACTTGCAAGTGGCCAAAAGTCAAAGAAATTAGAATTTTAAAGAGATGGGCTCCTATGCATCCCTTGGGCCACACTTTCAATTTCCCCAGGAAGCCTTATCTCCTCCCCACTCGCCACCACCACAGTGGAACCAACGGTTCCTCCCTTTCACACCACCAAATACCTTTCCTTCAATGGACAGCACAACCTGTAGTCAGATATTTAGTTGTCTCCCATTGGATTAATATTCATCTACCCCTCTAGACCATCAACTCCATCAGGGCAGGGATTTTGCCTGTTTGGGCTCACAACTGTAGCTCCAGCCCCTGGCACATGCTTAATAAATATTGTCCATTCATTCATTCACTCAACAACAGCAAAAATTTTAAACCTACTTCATGTGCTTTAGACATTGTTCTGAGTCGTGGAGATACAGCAGTTAAAAAAAAGGAAAACAGCAAAAATTCTTTCTGTCTCATGGAGCTAATATTCTAGTAGGAGGGGGACAATAAATAAGTAAAATATATAGAATTTTGATGGTAATAAGTGCTCCAGAAAAAAACAAGGAGGGGAGTACTCAGGTGCAGAATGGGGTTGGGGGGTGATACAGTTTTACACTGGAATAGGGTGAAATGAAGGGCTCTGCCTGCCACCCAGGAGGCTTCATAGAGGTGCTTTATCTTTGCAGTGATGATGAAGGAATCCAAGCTGACTAACTTCCAACAGCGCCACATCATGGACACCATGAAAAGTAAGAGGCAGTCCACAGAGGCTTCCTGGGCAGAGGGACTCTGGACAACGCTTTTAATCCTCTTCCATATTAAGGGATAGGGAAGGGACCTCATTTAAAAAGACCAAAGAAGGGGCGCCTGGGTGGTTCAGTTGGCTGAGTGTCTGACTCTTGGTTTAGGCTCAGGTCGTGATCTCATAGACTGTGAGATCGAGCCCATGAGGGCTGCCACCCAACGGGGAGTCAGCTTGAAGGATTCTCTCCCTCTGCCCCTTCTCCTATGCTCGCTCACTCTCTCCCATTCTCCCTCTAAAAATAAATAAATAAATCTTTAAAAAAAAAACAATAAAAAATTAAAATACCAAAAAAAATTTGAGGAGTATTTCTGACCCCTGCTCCTAGGGAATTGACCTTTTAGGGCTTTTGCTTCTTCCCAGGTCATAGGTCCTAGCACAACAACAAGCCTCTTGCAGTCTATCTCTGGCCAGCCTTCTGAGAGATCACAGCCCAATCGAAACATCCTGCTCAGCCAGAATAGTCTCCACATGGTCATGTCTGCCATCTGTCCCTTCCTGTTATACACATACCACGTGAGCTCTCTGGAGGAAAGGACTGTGTGTGTGTGTGTGTCTTACTCATAGTTTGATTCAGTCACAGCTTAGCTAGCAGAAGCAAAACAATTGGCAGAATTCCAACATCGGAAGAGTGTGCAAAGGCTTCCCACAGCTCACCTCTGGCCACCCACTGTATTAGTTATTTTGAAGAAAAACCAAAAAGTGGAAGGACATGGGTGCGATAGGAAGGTGCTCTCCAAGATCTTGAATACTACCTTCCTGAGATGTAACTGAATCCGCATTTAATGGATCAGAACAGAGACCTGGGAAGTGGCCTTGAAGAGAATGTCAGAATCCTCCACTGAGTCTACCAGAAGTGATGGCCTTAGGTGCCAAAGGATGTGCTTATGGGAGGACACCCCGAGCAGCCACAGGAGGAAAGGGGAGGGAGAACCAGAGAGGCAAAGATAGGCAGTACATGTCCAGAAGTGGCCAGGGCAGGCTCTGCCACGCCAGCACAGGGGTCAGATCCTCCTCGTTGGGCACAAGGACAACTCAGGCTGTCAGAGCCCGAAGCCATAGCACATCCCCCATCCCATCACTCCATCTCTGCACTCAGCAGTCCACAAATAATCTGGGGCCCACTGCCACATGACTACAAAGAGAAGGTGCTAGAAATTCCACTAAAAGTAAATTCCAGGAGACGAAGGACTATGTCTGCCTTGTTCACCCCAGTACCCCCAGCGCCCAGGTGCTGGATATTTACTAAAGGACTGATTTGATTAGTGGGGAAACCAAGGTAAGGAACGGGTTTGCTGGACAGTTTTATTCTCCTGAGTTTGCTTTTTCTTATTTATTTATTTATAAAGATTTATTTATTTTAGAGAGAATGGGAGGAAGGGCAGAGGGAGAGAGAGGAATCTCAAGCAGACTCCACGCTCAGAACATAGCCCCACATGGGGCTCAATCCCAAGACCCTGAGATCACGACATGAGCCAAAACCGAGTCAGACTCTTAGGCAACTGCACCACCCAGGTGCCCCCTTAGTTTTCTTTTTTAAAAACTTGCCTCCAAGCATTGCTGTTGAGTCAGCTTTCTTCTAGAACCCCTCTTTTTTCTACTCTTAACCAAATCCTACTTGTTGCTTTGAGGCTTCATTTGAATTCTGTTGCAAGCCACAAATGCCTCTCCTTCACCTGAACTCCCAGAATTACTTGGGCTGTAATCATCTGCTGAGGATGGGCCAGAGGAGGAGGTAGCATTTGGCCCTGGACAGGCGGACATAGGGCGTGGAGGGAGCAGGAGGGACATTCTAGGAAGCACATCTCTTCAAAGAAGAGCGTGGTGGGGCTCTACATAGAGGCTCTGGGAAGGGGAGGGTTAGTGGGATGTAGTGGTGACTCCATGCTTCCAGGCCCTCAGGACAGACACCTCAGAACCATCCTTGACTCCTTTCTCCCAGACTGCACATCCAACCCATCTGCGTGGGTCAGCTTGCCCTTCAAACCATATCCTGACTCTGACCACCTCTGCCCTTGGCCCCCACACCATATTTTCATCAGCAGCCAAAGGGCCATGTAACTTCTTTGCTCAAAACCTTCTGATGGCTTCCCACCTCAAAGTAAAAGTCAGTCTTTCCAGAGGCCTACAAGGCCCTATACTTCTCTTGCCCTCCCTGAGCTCTGACTTCTACTCCCACTAAGCCCCGCCTTGCTCACCCCATTCCCGGCACCCTAGCCTCCTGGCTGTTGCTCAGACCCTCGAGGCACATTACCACCTCACGGCCTTTGCTCTAGCTGTTCCTTCTGCCTGGGATGCTCTTCCCCAAAGTATCTGCACAGCAGGGCTCCTCACCTTTGGGGTCTTCTCTCCAAGGTTACCCTCTTCATGAGGCCTTCCCTGCCTATCCTATGTAAAATTGCAAATCCTGCTTTGACATACTCTGTTCCATCACTGTCCGGTCACAATCTATATATTTTACATAAGCATCATGCACACCCCTCCAACCCCAAATGTAAGTTCCCTGAGGGCAGGACTTTGTCTTTACTACTTTACCCCCAGTGTCCAGGGCCTGGCACAGAGCAGATGCTCAGTATGTCTTTGCTGAGTGGATGAGACAAGGTCGGAAAAGTAGAAGAGGTAGATGGGAACCAGATCAAAACAACGGGTGGGGCCTGCTCTGAGCTGGGCTTTGGGACGATTGAGAGGGACTGGTGTGTATTACCACCCAAACCGTACCTCCCTGCCTGTGGGCCAAGCAGGTCTTAGGAGTCCATCTATAGAAATAAAAGCACCGGTATAGAGGCTTGATGCACAAGAATGTTTATTGCAGCACCGTTTGAAGTAGTAAAAAAAAAAAAAGAAAAGAAAAGAAAGAAGGAAACAGCTTGAATTTCTGAGATTAGGAGACTAGTTGAATAAAATAAATAATGTGTCCATTCTAAGAACTAGTATATAGCTATAAAAAATAAGTTATATATAAATGGAGTGATCTGGAAGGTTGTCCATGATAAATTGTTAAGTGAAGGGTCTGTTGCTGAATATAATACAGTATGATCCAGTGTTTGAAACACGAAGGTCATATACGCACACGTATCTTTGAACAGGTTTGTATAACATCAGAAAGTCTGGAACAAGACCACCAAATTCTAACAATTGCCTGCTGCGGGGTGGGGGTGGGGGTCGGAGGACAGAAGGGAGGACGTCTACACTCTATGACTTGTAGCAAGGCGGTGTCACTTTTATAAATTAACAAAACAAAACACAACCCAGGTGGCTTCCCACCCCCAACCCGGCCTCACCCGAACCTTCCTGCCCCAGGAGGAGACACTCTGCCCCTACAGTGCAGCCCAACATCCAGCCAGAGGGTCTTGCCTTCCAAACAGCCAGCCTCAGCCATCTACCTGCCTCCCATCCTGGCGGCCCGGCCCCACCTCCGGCCTGCCAGCTTGTGCCAAGCCAGCGGGGCCTACAGCCGGGAACCATTCAGGCCTCAAGCCACCCGTAAGTGAGAGGGCCTCAAGAGCCCCGACTCCCCCTCCCTCCCCAAGGGGGCAGTGAATTCTCATGCTGTGTATACTAATGTGCTTGAGCCTTGGCACTTGTTAGCTTGGGCTGTTCAGGGTATAGGGAAAACCAGTCAGGTGATCCTTTTTTGTTTTTTTAGAACTCAATAATGATTAACTGGAGTCCACCAGTTCCTGAGGAACGTTTGGCTGTCAGGTCTCATGGCCACTGCTCTTTTAAGGTCACACAGTCGCTCCAATCCAGAGCTCCTCTGCATGCCAGCCTCCTCCACGGAGCCTTTGTCCCCCTCCCTACCGGGCGTCTGATGTAACTTGTGGCCCCAACCCACCGACAGCTCCCTGCAGCCTCTGTACCCAGGCTGCCATCACGGCAGTCACATTTCTCTTAGCCTCACTCTGCACCCGAGCAGCGTGTGGGTTCTGACTTCCATTCTGCCAGCCCTTCCCCTTCCTGCCTGTCTTGACACAAGCTCAGGGGCTCCCAGGGTAGAAGGCGCCTGGTTTGCAGAAGCCCCCTCCGTGTGGCCCAGGGGCCATGAAGGGGGTGCCCTGCCTGCCTTAATGAGGCCATTTCTGGGCCCTACAGGAGATCTGGAGAAAGAGAAGCGAAGACTCCAAAATATTTTTGCCACTGGGAAGGACTCAGAGGAACGGAAAAGAAAGCCCCCTCCAGTGCAACAGGAGGACTCGGCCCCTGAGCTGGACCGCTTTGAAGAATGTAAGCCACTGATGGGTCGCTTATGCTGGGGTGGGGGGTGTGGAGGGGCCCATAACCTGCGGCCAGAGTGAGAAACACTGGCCACAGAACTGCTTCCTCTCCCCACGAGAGGCAACCTGTTGCCCCCACCACCCATCCCAGGAGCCTGCTGGCCCCCTACTGCCCTGTACACAGACGGCCCTTCTCCCCTCGTCTAGTGGTAAAGGAAATCCAGGAGAGGAAAGAATTCCTGGCTGGCATGGAGGCGCTGGGACAGGGCAGACAGTACCGAGGGATCATCCTTGCTGAGATCTCCCAGGTAGGAGAAGCAACAGGGAAGGGGTGGGGGAGGGTCCACCATGAGTGCGCAGCAGGAGACGTGAGTGGACAGAGCAGCTGTTGCCTAGGTCTGGCCCAGGTCTGGGAGTCCATTCTAGCCTCACATCAGCAGCGGCTCCTCAAGTTCCCTCCCTGATCCCCAGCTTTCCCTGATGCCTTTTGCAGAAGCTACGGGAAATGGAAGACATTGACCACAAGAGGAGTGAGGACCTTAAAAGGCTCTTGCCACCCCTTGATCCGTCTCCAGAGACAGGGGCAGAGTAGCTCATCCTGGACCACCACTGGAGCCCACCCCCTGGCCAAGCAGAGTCACCCCCTGGTCAGCCCACCTACCCTGGCCTTCAGTCACATCAAATGGTCATGCAGCACTGCCCTGGCCTAGGGGACCCTGGGCACACATGGCACCCTAGAAAATGGACCAATCTCAGGGAATGAGCTGGTTCTCCTCAAGACTCTGCCCAGGGAGCCTGGGTCAGCTGACCTGCTGAGACCCACAGTCACAGACACAGACATGCACCCCCCCACACACACACACACAATCACACACAGGACTTCTAGTCTTTTCTCAGGGAAAAAGCCCATACACAGTGAAGGCAAGGCCCAATCTCACCATTTTGGGTGTGTGTCTGAGGGCATCCAACGGGCCTCTTCCTCCCCCTGCCCCCAACACCCACCGTGTGTCCTACATGTTTTCAGAACTTTGGAATGAAGACGATTCCTTCCTTCCTACTTGCCTTAGGACCTACTTATATGACTACAGGCAATGTTTAACCACATGATTAATTGGCCAGTAAGACACATTTAACGTAGGTCATTACATACACTGTTTTGTTTTCAGAAGGATAGACTTATTTGTTCAAGGAGTTAGAATTTTTTCAAGCCCAGATGTTTTTTAGCTGTTTGCATATCTCAAGTGGAAATGAGAACCAACACTTCTTGAACACCCCAAGGCCGGACACTGTGTCAGGCTGAATTTCACTTGGTTCATTCTCTCAATAAAACCCTCCGATGATGGTTGACTCTCCCTGTGTGAAATCTGAGGCTCCCCAAGACACTGTCACTAAGGTCATTCAACTGGCAAGGAGACCACTCAGGGTTAGAAGTTAGTTCTTGGGCTTTCCACGCAACCCACAGCCCACAGAAACACAAAGGTGGGAGAGAGTTAGACCAAAAGAGCCTGGCTTTGGAGCTCCAATCCCAGCTTGTGCCCTGGGAGGCTGAGCAGCACCACAGCCTCAGCTCCGACTGCTCATGGGTGAGGCCCTGCCTCAGAGGGCTATGGAGGCAGCCCTGGGACCACACAGAAGTCCCCATGTCTTCTGACAACCATGAGTCCTGCACTGTCCAGGACTCTCTCACTTTCCTGTCCCCAGACATCAAAACAGTTTGGAAAATTCAACCAACACTCCCACCTGGAGGGATTCGTGTAATCCTACGGGCCACATGACCCAAGTTTTGGGCTGCAGAACATGGCCCCACAGCCTCAAACAGGTAAGCAGAAGGGGCCAGATCAAGGGCTGGTTCAGGAACATTTCCATGGGAAGCCTGTGTCCACATACCCTCCAGAACCCGAGGGTAGAGGGTATACCATGATAAGGACAGCTCTCCTCCACCTCAAAGGCCCCCTCATGTAGCTCCGAGGCAGCAAACTGGAGAACCCCAGGACACCTTGGGCCCACCCGTGACAACACAGCCTACCCTTGATTTAAATTCAGATTAGTTGCCAACATTTACAAATCACACACACAGAGTCTGGATTTCTAGCTTCTTTTGAAAAATGGAAAGGTCTGGCCACACTTGGGCCCGCATTCCCACAGGCTACAGTTGACTTAAGGAAGGAAGAACTTCCCCCTTGAGTTGGGTCATAGACACCTCAGTTCACCTCAGTCCCTGCTACCTGAGTCTCCGGACACAAGACAGCCTGCCAGAGCCACCCCTCAGGTTACGCCCAGCCTGGTCAGGTGTGTGACCTGCCTGGCCCTGAAAGCCTTTGGAGTTGGTGACCAGCTCCAGGTCAACAGGCATGTTTGGAAGGAGACCACCAGGGGCTGTGCAGGGGTGGGAGCTGCCCCTCCCTGCAGAGGAGGAGTCCTGCCCACTGGCAAGCCCTGGAGGCCAAGGCCCCTGGCCGTGGACAGCCCCACTCGCCCTCCCGGGCGACCAGAGAGGCCTGGCCACAGGGCATGGCGGAGGCAGGGAAGAAGGCGGACCTGGCTGAGGGCAAAGTGCCCAAGGCTCCGGGGCACTGGCAACTGAGGTTGTCTCCATTTATTGTTGGTGAGGAAAATCCTCACGAGTTAATACAGTGCGTACTTTCCCCAGAGGTGTGCTGAGGGAGGGGGCCCTGGAGCGCCCCAGAGATAGCTTATAGCAACAGTGCTTTGACCGAGGGCTGCTGGACACATTCCCTGGGGAAAAGGCAAATGTCCCCGTCGGCTCCTCCTCTCCCATGGCCATCAGAGGGGTGAGTAGCCATCAGTCCTTCGGGGGGACGGGTCGGGAGAGAGCGGACAACAGTCAAGTGTGAGAAGACAGACTGGTTATGACCATACCCAGGAACAGGCCCACCATCCCCCAACCCTGGGGTGGTGGGGGGCAAGTCTAAATGAGGGGTCAGACTACAGTGTGTTAAGGAACCAGGATTAGCACCTCTGTGAAGCACAGCTCCCTCTGCTGATGCTTGGGGACCAGAACTGCCTCTGGGGCCTGTTTCCCAGAGGCCCTCCCTGGGGACTCAGCTCTAGGGCACCCACCCAGCCCAGCATGGCCACCCAGCCCCAATTCCTGGGGGGTGAGGTTTCCGATGGAACGAGGGAAGACAAGAGAAGCACCTCCTAGAGCTTTGAGGGACAGAGGGAGGCATTTGTCCATCAGGCCCATTCGTGTCTGAGGACACAGTAACAAGCTCAAACCTAATTAGACTTCATAAATAGAGCTCCTGAGTGAGGAGAAACAGATTCAGGGCCACCTGCACTGGGAAGGAAAACGGGGACTCAGAGCCAGGGCTGGGGTGGGAAGAAGCCAGTGCGGCCAAGCCAGGCCTGCGGCCTGCCAAGAGCAGCAGAGCCCTGAAGGCAGGAGACCCGGGCCAGAGGTCCACCACGGGCAGACCGCGTGAGTGGAAGGACCTTTGGGTCAGAAATTTGACAGCTAACAATCCCATCTGGACATGGTACAGAAGGGAAGAGGGACCCAGGGGCTGCCCGTCAAGGCAGGCGGTGGGTGGGATGCAAGGCAGGGGTGCTCAGCCCCCGCCACTCCCTGGACTCAGGGCCCTGCTTGCTCCTTGGGTCAGTCACAGCATCTGGAGTCATCAGAACCAGACCGGGCAGGGCTGAGCCGCAGCTACATGCGGCCCTGAGAAGAGGGAAGAAAATTCTTTGGCCCAGACCAGCCAGAGGACCCTGAGGAGGGAGAGGCTGTCACCCAGAGGCCCCCTCCCCTGACATCATCTTTCCCTGGGACCGATCCCGATGGGAAGCAGGGTGCCCCCCGTGAGCAGACCACAGCCCAGGGGCTGCATGCGCCGGGGGGGTGGAAGTCCCAGCTGGTTGCCCTTGCTGTTAGCTCTTGTCCCCTGGGGACTTGCTCTTGGTATCCCGCTTGTTTCCTAGCAGCTTCAGCACCTTCATGGTCTTGAACTTCCCCTTCTTCTTGCCCTCGGGTTCAGCCTCCTTCTGGAACTCTGCAGAAGAGAAAGGGGAGCCCTTAGCATGTGGGGAAGGGGAGTACGTTGGGGCAGGCCAGGGGCAGTGACAAAGGCCCAGATCCTCTCCTCCAGTTCATCTGGAGTCTTGGGCACGTCACTTCACCTTTGTGAGCCCACAGGACGGGGACCATGCCCCTGTCCCAGTGATTTGGCAAGGATCTAGAAATAAACAACTGTGAAAGCAATCTGGAGCTCGGAAGCATGGCATGGATTTATTGACGCGGACACTGACAGAGCTAGAAGGAACGTCAAAAATCATCCGCCTCACCCTCAGTTTTCACAAGGCAACTGTGGGCCTTTGAAATGGACTAACACCCGCTGAGCTTTCTGCAGGCGCCAGGCCCAGGGCGAAGTGCGTTCTGTGCACCATCCTGGGAACACTCTGCACCCCCATGCTGCAGCCGAGGACGGGGAGGCCTGCACGGCTGAAATGACGGGCTCCAAGTCACCGAGCTAGTAAGTTCCAGAGCTGGGCCTGGAAGCCGAGCAGCCTGACTAGAGTCCAGACCTAACCACAAGGCCACAAAATGAGTCACTGGTAGAACCAAGATGAAACCAGGTTTCCTGACTCCCAGGCCAGTGCTCTTTTAGCTGTTCCGGGCACCATCTTATCTCAGGAGGCACGGCTGTTTCAGCCCACAAACTTCTTTTTTTTTTTTTTTTTTTTTAAGATTTATTTATTGAGAGAGAGAGAGTGTGCAAGCACCTGGGTGGGGAGAGGGGCAGAGGGAGAGAATCCCCACTAAGCGCAAAGCCAGACGCAGGGCTCCATCCACCACCATGAGATCGTGACCACAGCCAAAATCAAGAGTCAGGGGTTTAACTGACTTGAGCCACCCAGGTGCCCCTCACCCACAAACTTCTCCAAGATCAGCTGCAGATATCGAGGAGGAACTCCTGACTTCAGGCAGCCGCCCTGGGAAAGTGCTCCTTGCCCACCCCAGCCCTCCCCATAGCCCACCCTCTGAGCCCAGGCCACAGCCTTCCTGCCTCTAGGCTAGCCTGCCTCGCCACACATGGCCCTCCCTTTAAGAGAGAGGCTAAGAGTTTGCACACACCATCCTTGGAGCGCCCGCTCCAACCCTCTGTTCAACCTGCCCCCTGCCCTCCCACAGTTCGGGTGGACCAGAGCCCTGGGAGGGGCCTCACCTTTCCTCCTGATCATGGCTTCCAACATCTTGTCTTCCTCCTCCTCCCTGAAATGAGAAAGGGAAGCTGAGTGTCCCACAGGAGGAAGGACACATATTCTCTCAGTCCCTTCCAGCCGGAGTCCCTCCCACAAGTTGAGGGAGGGTGTGCTGGGGTTGCTGGCCATGAGGGCAGGGCTGGCCTGGCCCGTTCTGGGCCCGTCCTGGGCCCGTCCTGCAGGGACCGCCCCCCCCCCCCCACCAGCCACCTCACCTCTGCCGGTCCTCATCTAGGCAGTTGACGATGGCGTTGCGCTGCTCGATGAGGGCCATGAGCTCCCGCATCAGCACCTTCTCTCGGCCCCGGTCCTCCTCTGTCCAGTCCTTTTCTGCCCAAGGAGAAAAGTTGGGGAACTGAGTCGGGGGAAGCCCCTCCTGCCTTCCCAGGAAGCCAGGGACCAATGCCTAAGTGCTGAGGTGGTTGCAACCTAGCCCCATCCTGGATCCTGTGAGGACAGGAAGGAGGGCCCACCTGGGGAGGGATGACAGGTTTTGGGGGAAATGAAGGTTGATCAGGAAGAGACCAAGGATACTAGGCTGCCTACCAAAAAACCCCTCAAGGGGGCTCCGGGATGGCGAGCACAACACATGTTCTGAGAACAGAGACGAGCTCTTGCCAAAGGGGCTCCTGCTTTTGCTCATTCATTCAACGAATGTTCACTAGATGGTTTCTTGGAGGCAGGATTCAGGCTGGGCCTGCTGAGAGCCTCCAAGGGTGGGCTGGCCAGAGCGGGGCAGGGCTGGGGAGGTAACAGGGGACCCCAGGGGTCCTTATGCAATAGAAACAATGTAACCCAAGTGGCATATTGGGATCTTCACATAATGCCATGAAGGAGGGCAGATTAGAGGGGACAGGACCCTGGAGGTGGTGAGCCCAGCCAGGTGTCCCCGAGGTGTCATATACCTGCTACCCCACCAGCCTCCTCTCAAGAACCCGAGCCATCCCACAGGACCACCCAAGGGCCCCCCTGCACCTTAGTTTCCCTTTCATCCAGCCCATAGGCTCCCAGGGGAAGGGTGCCCACACCAGCCTTCCCTCTATAACGTCTGCCACCACAGACCTCCCTATCTTGAAATAAACATCCTGAGGCCCCCCCCCCCCCGCACCTGGTCATGTTCCAATGTCCGTACACCTCACCTTGCCAGAGCTCAGGAGCAGGTGGCCCAGCATAGTTCTGGGGACAGCACAGGAGTCACCATCCCAATTCAACTCCCTCTGCTACTTCCCAAATGTGGGGCCTGGGGAGGTCATGTCCCTACACTACATGTGGGGAAACTGAGGCTCAGGGAAGTTGGGTCCTTGACCAGTGTCACACAGCAAGAGTGGAGCCGGTCTTTGATCCTGGGTAGCTTGATACCCCCAAGCTACAGCCCTTATGGTGTTTTATGGGTCCCTAACCGACCTGGGGCCTTATAAATCAGTCCCACCCTGCAAAAGCAAACTCTGGGACAGGATGACAAGCCCAGGACGTGCAGCCATCACACAGAAGGCTGGAAAAGGAACACAGTAAGCCCAGGGCCAGGCTGGCCTAGGGCGCACACACAGGACGGACCGCGCCCACTCCAGCCACAGGGCCTCACTGTGGCTCCCTCTGGTGGGGGCTGTGCCCCAGACTCCAGGAGATGTGGCCATGACTCATAGAGGGCGGTGGAGTGGCTTCCAGAGACACTTCTGCCTCTGGGTCTTATCCAGCCTCCCAAGTTCCCTAGTCAGTGGAGAGGCAGGGCCACTGTCCCAGCAGGCAGGAGGGGCTGCGTGCGCTGGGACAGGCCAAGTCAGAGACAGGGATTAGAAGCCCAGCGCCACCACCAATGGGCAAGACTCAACCTCTGGCTCTCTATTTCCTCATCTGTGAAATGGAAACAGTGAAGCCCATGGTCTGGGCCAGAGGAAGTGGCCAAAAGCCCTGGCTCCTGTGGTCTCTCTGCCTACCTGTGGCTCAACTACACATCAAGGCCACAGACCCCAACTCAGCCACATAATAACCATCAACCACCAGCCCCTCGGGGGGCACAGAGTGTTTCCACTCAGGAATACCCTACAAGGTGGGTACCTTCATCCTGTCTTACACTTGAAGCCACTAAGGCTCAGTAAGGCTAAGAAACCTGCCTAGCCCCCCTTCCCCAGCCCCGGCCCACCTCCAGCATGTTCGCGGTGGAACACGGCAGAACAGAGGACTATGTAACTCCACACCCAATCCCTCCTGCTGCCCCCTCCAACATCCCGCCCAGCACCCCCAGAGTCCTTCTGAGCCAGTGTGCACGGGATCCTTCCACTTTCCCTCCCACCGCTGGTGAAGTCTGGCCGTGCTCTGGCCTCAAGGCCATGAGCCCCAAGGTGCTTCTGCTGTCACCCACTCATCTGGGGCAGCCCTGGGCCCTGGAGCCTGAAGGCTCTCCCCAGCGGGGACCTGTCTACCCACAAGTCCCAGGAGATAGGCCAGCCTGCTCCTGAGCCTGGTGCTCTCTGAGAGCCTGTCTTCCCTGATGCCACATGAGGCCACACCCCCACAGTGGCCATGCTGTTCCTTCTCCTGCCATCACTCGAGCCTATTTATCACCTGCTATGACCCAGACTGCACCTCCTGGCCCTCTCCCGCCTCGGGCCCTGTTCCCAGAGCCTGCCTGTGCGTCTCCATCAGGGCCGGTAGGGTAAGACCTGGGCAGGTGCCAGAGGAGTGCGGGGGGCAGGGGGGCCACGCTCACCTGGCTTGTTGAGAAGACACCGGAGCTCATACTCTACATCCGCCTGGCGCTGCTCCAGGTTCTGCTGCTTGAAACTAGACGGTGGGAACAGCCAACTATTAGCCCTACCCCTCACACGACTGCCCTGCCCTGGGGCCGTCAGTGAGGAGTGAAGGCAGGGAAGATGCTCCGTGCTGAACTCCACGGATTCTGGGGAGCGGAGCAGGGGAGCTGAGCGGGGAGGACTCACACATAGATGAGCTCTGACTCCCGCCGCACCAGCAGATGCTTCTCGTGGATGAGCTTGAACCAGTCCACCAGCATGTCGTCCTCACGGCCCTCTGGAAGCCAGATGCCCACTGAGGCCAGGGCTGGCAGCACCTGCAGCCCTCAAAGGAGCCGTTGGGGAGGGAGGCTCCTGCCACCCCTAAACCCCACCCACCAGGCCCTCCCAGCAGCTCCCGCACCGGTCACGCCGCCACGCAGCTTCTCCTCCAGCAGGACCCCACGGTGTTCCAGGGCATCCAGCTGACGCTCGATCATGTCCATCTCTCCATGGATGTCCTCCTCGGGGATGTACTGGTCGGCCTGGACCTGCCCGACAACGCCCCGGTCACCGGAAGGACAGCCCACCCGTCCCACCTGCCCGCTGCCGGGCGCTTTGACATTTCACGGGCCAGCACTGGCCTCCACAGACCCTGGGCCTGGGCTCTGTCCCACAACCCAGCGCGGCCGGGTGCAGGAGCCCAGTGTGGGGAAGGGCCGCTCTGGAGGGGGGGCCCCAACCCCTCCGTGCCCCCGGCCCCAGCGCTGAAAGGCACCCCCAGAGGGACGCACAACCTCCTGCCTCTCGTGGCAACCCGCCCCCCTCCTCTACCACTCCAGAAATGATATCACAATGTAAGAGAGTTGACCCTAGGAGAGAGAGAAACTCAAGAACACTCTAATCTGTTTAACTCCAAGTGTATCATGTGAGTGCTTCCATCCTTAAACTATTATTAGTAACAAATGAAATGCACCAGCCACGCTCCAGCTTGAGAACAGCTGGTCTGCTCAAAATCCCCCTGGCTGCAAGTTAAACCTTCCCATCGGGGCCCCCCAAGTGCCCCTCTCAGCACCCCCAAAGGCAGCTACCCAGACAGCCCATCCTCTCAAGAGTCCCCGGGACGCCTGAGGCGGCTGAGTGCCTGCAGGCTGCTGGCTGGTACCTTGCGCTTGATGAGGGGGAAGCCGTGTCCTGGGGCAGGTGGTCTGGCTGGCTTGGATCCCTTGGTGGTCTTCTTTGTGGTTGGGGATGCTGTGGGTGACGCCTTCCGGTTAAAAGGGTTCTCCTTGCAAGAAGACTAAAGGTAGGGAGAATGGCAGAGGATAAGTCTGGGGAGGGGGGCAGTAAGACCCCCAGCAGCCTGACTACATGGGACTAGGGCCTGGAGGCCGGGAGGGGGCAGCCCAGGCAGAGAGAGAGAGACCCCTAGCATTCCGGCTCTGGTGCACTGAGGCATTCGACAAACATTTCCCTTTCCACGGGCTTCCCACCTCCAGTCCTGCACTGGATACCTTTATATGCTCTTGCTCTCCCAACCCCTCTGCAAAATGGGTATTGTAATGCCATTTTATTGTAATACCATTTTATAGCTGAGTACACTCAAATTCAGAGAGCTTAATTAATTGGCTCAAGGTCATGCACTTCCTAAGGGCCCAAGCTAGGGCCGGGGCAGCCGTCTAGCACCAGGGGCAGTGGTGAGGACGTGGAGTTTAGGGCCAGACGGCTATGCTCACTCACTCAGGCCTCACAACCACTCCTTTCTAGCAGGGACTCTCAGGCTCAGAGAGGGAAATGAAGCTCCTGGCCCGTGTCACCCTGACAGGAAGCAGGGATCCCACCTTCCATCTGGCCAGGAGATGGAGGAAAAGAGTAGCTTCCTTCCTCCCTGTCCAGAAAAGACCCCTCCCCAGGAAAGACCCCTCCCCTCTGCTGCACCCCGCTCCATGCACCCCAGCCCTCCATCTGTCTGACTCTCTGTGGAGAGCCTGCCCCCTGAGGTCAGCACAGCCAGACAGCCCCAGCACCGGGACGGGGCCTCGCCTGCCCCACGGGCAACACCAATGTCCTCCAACTGCTTTCCCCAGCTCATCGGACACAGAGGCGTCGTGATGGGCCCCATGGAAAGGTCTCGCTTGAGGCCTGCAGTGCTCCCAGGACTGTTTACCCAACTTTCTCCCAGCAGCTGAGGGAGGCTGGAGGGAGCCCTGCTCAGCTCACCCGCACTAGCCCATGGAGAGATTCTTTCAGGCTAGCAGTTGCCCTGGGATTTCTGGAGCAGGGAAAGTACCAGGGCCTGAGTCCAGGCATGGCAGGGAGACGGGGTTTGGTTTCCACAGGGCGGCACCTGGAGAGACCCAACCCCAGCGACGGGGTTGCAGAGGGTGGCTCTGAGTGTGACAGGCGGACAGTATGCAGAGCTGAATAAACAAGTGGAGGGGCCCAGCAGGGTCAAACAGCCCGAGGCCCCTGAGTCCCCAGGGGTTCTCAGCCTTGCAGGCTGGGTGGCTCAGTCTGTTAAGCGTCTGCCTTGGACTCAGGTCATGATCCCAGAGTCCTGGGATCGGGCTCCCTGCTCAGTAGGGAGCCTGCTTCTCCCTCTGCCATGCCCCCTGCTTGTGCTCTCGCTTTCTCTGTCTCTCTCCTTCCCTTTCTCTGTCAAATAAATAAAAATCTTTAATAAATAAATAAATAAATAAATAAATAAATAAATAAATAAAAGGCACCGCCTGAAGGTGGAGGGCGGGGTGTCCAAAGTTGACCTCTTCCCCCACCTGCCCCCACCAGGGAACACTGGGCCTCCTCAGAGCAGTCTGAGGCCCACAGAAGGGGCAGGGCCTTCTCAAGGTCACACAGCAGGTGGGTAGCAGAGCTGGACAGGAGGCTGCTGGGCAGGTGAAATGTCTGAAAGGTGCACAGGTAAGAGCTGGACCAACAGCTCAGCCCGCTCCCCAGACTTAACCTCTGTCAGGTCCATCAGACCATGACTACTGCCACCCGACCTGAGCTGTCCTGACACCCTCCACCCGGGGCCACACGAGCCTTGGGCCTTCAGGGGCTGCAGAGTGTGCACAGACATGCACAGTCAGAACCTGGTGGCCTGAAAGTACTATGGCTACAAGAGAGGCGCCCCCAGGAACTAGATGCCCAGAGGAGTGTCCTGGACCCCTGATGACCCCTGCTTCCCGGCATGGAACTGAGGAACAATTACATGAACAGCCACAAAGGTCACCTGGAGAATGAGCTCCCTGAGATGGGTGCCCCTGAGAGGAGACGGAGTGCAAGGAGGGCCTGGGAGGGAGCCTCGGCACAAACAGGGCCTCGTCAAAGAAAGGATGTGAAGATGGATGGTGGCTGGGGGAATGGGTCCCGGATGGGCACGTACATGGGATAGGCAAGTAAACAGGTGCCCAGACGCATCACTCAATGAAGGGCCAGGCAGGTGGACGGGTGAGGAGATGGATGGGAAGACGGACAGATCAATCTGTGCCTCAGTGAATCGAGTCAGGAATGGGCAGATGGACACAGCAAGGTCAGAAAAGAAGTCAGATGCTAGCAAAGATGGAAGACCCTGGACATTCCCGCCGAGACCAGACAGGACAGCAGCTCTTAGCAAGGGGGAGAACTCACCTTTACTTGGAGCTGCGGGGACGAGGTTCCAGGGCAAGGCACGGGGCTCTTGTCTCCAACCAGTAAGAGAGGGGTGGGGGCAGCGCCACTGCAGGGCTTGGCTGGCTGGGGAGCCGGGCTGCCCCTAGTACCGGGGGCAAGGCCAGGGCTGGCCTGAGGTGTCTGGTCTGCGCTGGGCTGCACCAGTTCCCCAGAGGAGGACAGGGAGGAGGAGCCGGCAGAGAGGCTGGCAGAGGTCCCAGGGGTGCCAGGGGCATGGACTGCAGGCTCTGAGGAGCTCTTGGGCACAACTGGGGGTTCCAGAAGCTCCCCAGAGGGGGTCCGGCTGGAGCTCTCGGAGGACAGGCTCTCCACACTGAGGGCTGGCGACGGGGCTGCCGAGGGCGGCTCTGAGTGTGACAGGCGGGCAGTGTGCAGAGCTGAACAAACAAGTGAGTGCATGAGCGCCCCGCGAGGAGGCACAGCCCCTCCAACACCCTCCCCTCTCCACAGAGTGCTTCCATGTGCGGACAAGGCTGGGGCCCAGAGAGCAGCAAGGGCATGACAGGACCAAGGTCAGTAGCCGCCGAATTGTCCGCATTCAGCGCCCACCCTTTGGGCTCTGGGGCGCCACCTCAGGGCACATCTGTAGTCCTGGGTTCCTGCACTGCCCCTCACTTCCTCCTGCACGTGCCCGCTGCCTCCACTGCCCCTCCCAGGTCTGATATGACCCAAAGCAAAAGCCCAGGGGAGGAGGCGAGGCTGCCAGGGGAGGAGAGGGCACAGAGAGCCCAGGCTGGCCCGTCCTGTGCGTCGGACCAGCAGGAGAGGGGAGGAACCGGCAGCCCTTGCAGCGCCGGCCCTGGCCAGGCACCGCCCGGGCCACGTGAATCCTCGTGTGGGTGATGGATACCATGCCCTGAAGCATCGCCATCTGTGTTTTCCAGATGAGGCGGCAGACTCGGAGGGAAGGCACTTGCCCGAGAAGGGCCGGGGCTGACACAGCTGTGTGTGACTCAGCACTCAGCGTCCTACAGCTGCCCACCCCCCATAGCTGGAGGGCCCCGGGGTTCCGGCAGGGGCCAGAGCGGGGAGCCCTGGGCCACCTGAGCACCTGCCTCCAGGCATGTCTCATGTGCTCTCAGCCCCCCTGTCCGAGGGGCTCCAGCTGAGGTCTTGGAGGCGGCCGCACCCCAGCCATGATGGAAGGTGACCAGGCCTGAGGCCTGAGAAGTCCGCAAGATGGTGACAGACAAAAACTGCAATGGGGGGGGGGGGTGCCTGGAGTGGCTCAGTCAACTGAGCGTCCGACTCTTGATTTCAGCTCAGGTCATAATCTCAGGGTCCTGGGATCGAGCCCCGAGTCGGGCTCCACGCTCAGTGAGGAATCTGCTTGGGATTTTCTCTCCCTCTCTCTCTCTGCCCCTCCCCCCACTTCTCTCTCCTTCTCTCCCTCGTTCTTTCTCTTTCTCTCCTGGTCTCTCTCTCAAATAGATAAATAAATCTTTTTAAAAAACAACTACAACGAGCCTGGATGAGTTGGCATGGTTGGAGGGAGGCACAGCGCCCCAAGGCTGGCCCACCACCACTGTCTTCCAGATGGGGACACTGAAGGCAGACACAGGGAAGGAGCTGCTCAAGGTCACACACAGCCAGGTCAGGGTCCAAGGTGCCCGGTGACAGGAGGGTAGTGACTAGACAGGCAGGACTCAAGCGAACCCCAGCCACATGCTCTCCAGGAGCCGGGCGGTGCTGAGCCTCTCACTGAGGCACACATCGCATCCTCACGACACCTTACCGTGAGGCGGGTTACGGAGGGTTAGGAGGATAGAGTAGAGCCTCTGGCCTCCTGCCTGTCAAATCTTGCCTCTACTGCTCAGTGCTGTGAGGCCTTGGGCAAACCCCTCTCTGTGCCTCCTTCCTCACCTGCAAGATGGGAGCGTGCTACCTACCCCACAGGTGTGTTCTCGAATTAGCTGTGAGGACACACATGGCCCCCAGCCTGGCGGGGACCCCACTGCACCACACAGCCTTCCCCAGCCCTGGGCTGACTCCGGCCCCCAAACCCAGCATTTTGTCAGGAGAGCTCCCAGAGATGGCACTCACCAAGTGGGGACGCACTGGGCGCGCGGGGGGCAGGGCGCTTCTTTGTCTTGGGGCTGCTGGTGGGGGTGATGCCATACCAGGGGTGCAGGGACTTGGGTGTGGACTCGGCCGAGTGGGCCAGGGCAGGGCCAGCGGCCAGGCTGGGTGCAGCTGGCGGGTCCTCCTCCTCCTCCTCCTCAAAGGGGTTGTAGGGCTTGGGCTCCGGGCCACCTGTCACCTGGCTCTGCTGGGCCGCCTCCTCCACGCCTCCATTCTCCACCTGCCTGCCGTCCCGGCTCGGAGGGCCGGGGCTGCTGCTCGGGGGGAGGGGGGCTGGCTTCTTCTTTGGCTCTGCCTGCACCAGTGTGATCCATGGGGGGTCTTTCCTGGGGGCTGGTGTCCTGGACGGAGGTGGGAAGAGGCAGAAACCACTGGGGAGGGGGGCAGCATCCTCCTCTCTCTGGAGAGTTTTAAGTCCGTTTCAAAGAGAGTGGATGAGAAACTGCACCCTTCTCCCCCAGCCCTGTGGGGTCAGTCTGGGCCCAAAGCTGAAATGGGGAGAGTGAACCTTCACATCACAGCCTCCATCAGCCCGGCCCAGGAAAGGACCCACAGGGGCTCTCTGTGTGAGGCTGAGAAAGTCACCTGGCCCCTCTCCATAGTCGCCCATCTTGGAAATGGGGACAGTAACCTTCACAAGGGCATTCTAAGGCTCCAATGGGCACAGTGCCTTGCGTACAGCAAGTGCTCATTGAGCATTAACTACTATTACAGCTGGGGCCCACTCTCCCCCTGAGACTACCCAGGGGACGCACAGCTCCAAAGAATAGCTGGAAATAGCTGTCCTCAAGCGGGACACAGAGTCCCAGGCTGGAGGGCCTGAGCCAGGTACACAGCGGAGCTTTTCTGGGTCTTTCTAGACCCAGCTGCCACTTCTCACAACAGCTCTGTGAGTGAGGCCTACGTCTCCCATGTCACAGAGCAGCAGGGGCGTGGAGAGGTCTAGGGGCTCCAGAGGCACTGTCTCTACCAGGACTCCTCCCCACAGGAGTGGGGACCCCAGGGGAGACCCGGGGAAGGAGATGTGGGCCCAGCACTCAGCCCCAGCGTCACCCACCCAGAGTGAGCCTTGCATGTCCTTGGGAGGCTCTGCCGGTGAGTCATGTGTCCACGGAAGCCTTGCCCACCCCCCAGACCCCAGGGGCACCCCCATTCCCAGCACGAGAGCCTCCAACATGGGAAAGCCTCTCTGAGCCAGCGTACCTCTCTGACAGCTTGGGCGTCCCTCTCGGCTTGGGGACAGGGGGTTCGTGCAGCCTTCCTAGATGGGAAAGGAGAGTCAGACAGGCCTTCTTCATGGGCGGCTGTGGGCTGGGCAGCAGAGCTGAGCACTGGGGAGCCGCGGTGTGCCCTCCCTTTCTACCTGGCAGAGCCGGGACTCCAGGTGGCCAGGGCCACCTCACCTCCCACCTGACACCGCCCAGCACTCGGGGAGATTAGATAAGCACCAAAGGTGACAGGTAAAGAATGGTCATGGGGGCAAGGCCAGGATACCTGGAAACCCCATCAGCATTTCAGCCGAGAAGGGGGGACCCAAGTGTCCCTCGGACACTTCCCCCAACGTGGACAGGAAACACTGCCTTAACTCAGCCTCGAAGCCTCCCCTGACCCCCGAGTGTCCCCCATGAAACCCACGGTAGCCTCTGCTTCCCCTGTCTTAACAGCCTTCCACATTCTATAGACATCTCTATTATCTGTGCTTGTCTCCCTGCTGAGCCTGGCAGGGCCTCGAAGGCACAAATAGGCCTAAACAAGATCTGTCCCCAGGGCCTGGGCTCAGAGCGGGCCTCCCTGTGCGTGTGGAGCTGAACAAGGCCCAGAGAATGCGGACACACGAATACTCCCGATGCACACGTGCATTTAAACACCAGACGCACCCCTGCAAGTGCCCGGCCCCCGCTGGACCCTTGCTCACCATTTACTAGGCCACTGTTGCCACCCTGCTCGGCCAAATTCTCGTGCTGCAGACTGGACCGGGGCCGGGGCGTGGGGGGTGTCAGGGCTGGGCTCTCGGGGGCCTTCCTCGGGGCAGGCGTGGGGCGGCCGGCCGGGAAGCTGCCCAGTTCCTGTGGTTTGCTTGGAAGCCGGGGCTTGGTGGGGATCTGGGGCCGGGCCTCGGGGCTGGCCTTGGGGACAGCCACCTCAGCCTCTGCGGGCGCACTAGCACCCGTGCCGCCTCCGTCCACATCCCTGACTTCTTCTGCAAGTTCCTGCTGCTTTGGCTGCAGATGGGGCCCGGCCTTGGCCCCCGACCGCCCCCCGGGGCCCAGCCTGGCACAGTGCTCCGCGCACACAAAGGTGCCTTCCTCAGGCCCACTTCTGTAAGCTCCGGGGAGCAGGGTGCTGGAGCACTGCCGACACCTGCCAGGGAGAAGGTGGGGAGGGGGCTTCAACGGAGCCGGGCACCCGGCCTGGGACACTGGCTCCTCCTCCCCCAGGAGCCCCCGCTGTTCCTGCCCTCCCTCCTTGCGTATGCCAGCCTGGATCTTGTACCCCGGACTTCCCACAGGAGGAGGCAACCCACAGGTAACCGCCAGAAGCACAGAACAATAAAATCACATGAAATCAAGCAACATAAATTGTGAAACATGCCTTCAGTTTGTGCTATAAGAGGAAGCAAAGGTTTGCCCCCACACGGAGGTACCAGCCAGTGCCGGGGCCGTCGGTCACCAGCGGCTCAGGAAACCGACTGAGTTGTTGTCAACCAAGCAAGGTTTTTTTGGTTTTGTTTTTTATGAAATAGAATAAAATACAACATATCGGAGTGTATCGCACAACTAAGAATATACTGTTTGAGGAAATACTGATTCCAGTTGTGCATCTATTTATGTGGGGTCTTATTCAGGTGTGTATTCACAACTGGTCACAGTGTCAAATGTATTTCTTACTGGGGGTCACTGGAAAAAGTCCTTAAAATGCTGTCCTCATGGCCAAATGTGAATGTGTTAGTATGACAATGCCCCTGCTTGAGCTTTGCCCTCGTGACACCTCAGTTCTGCAGTCAGGCCTCTGGGGTTCCAGGCCTGGCCACCACACCCCCACAGACATACACAGACACACAGAGACACAGAGACACACACACACACACCCACAGACACACACCCACATGCTAACCCATAGTCATGCTAACCCATAGTCGAATGCATGTTGGAACTCAGTCGCTGGCTTCCCTTGACTATTTTTTTTTTTTTAAGATTTTATTTATTTATTTGACAGCGAGAGAGGGAACACAAGCAGGGGGAGTGGGAGAGGGAGAAGCAGGCTCCCTGCCGAGCAGGGAGCCTGATGTGGGGCAGGGAGCCTGATGCGGGACTCCATCCCAAGACCCTGGGATCATGACCTGAGCCAAAGGCAGACGCTTAACAACTGAGCCACCCAGGCGCCCACCCTTGATTATTTTCTGATTGCTCTTTTGCAACATATAAAATGTTTTCAGAGGCGCATCAGTCAGTTCAGTGTTTGCCTTCAGCTCAGGTCATGATCCCGGGCTCCCTGCATGGGGCTCCCTGCTCAGCGGGGAGTCTGCTTCTCCTTCTCCCTCTGTCGCTGCCACCCCGCTCCTGATTTCTCTCTCTTGCTCACGCTCTCTCTCAAATAAATAAATAAAATATTTTTTAAAAAATGTTTTCATACATGTTCTAAGTTATTTGTCTTTTCCCTGTCTCTTACTTCATTTTCTTTAAACTTGGCTTCTTCCGGGAGCCACACATTGAAAGCAAGTTGTTATTGTGATTTTTTAAAAAATCCTTTCTTTTTTCAAGGGCTTCTAAAGCAGCTCCTTAATCGTCATCGGGTCGTTGGCCTCAGAGAGCTCCGGCGTGGGAGGCAGAACCCCTGAGCTCAGCTCCTCTGATTCCGTGACTGACGCGGCTTCTCCCCTCACTAAGCCTTAGTTGGCTCATCAGTAAAAGGGGTTGATGAGCAAGATGCTCTGGCATGAAGAGCCCCGCAGTGTGCCTGGCACACTGTGAGCCTGGATCCACAGAAGCTCGCCTCCTTGGAAATGGGGTGCGGGGGGGCTCGCCCCCCCGCCCCCCAGGCTCCCACGGCCACTCACCGGAAGCAGTGGCGGTGGTACAGCTTGCCCTCGGCCAGGTAGCGCTGGACCAGGTGCACGTGCTGCTGGCAGGCGGCACACGTGCTGCTGGGGGTCTGCCGGGCGCCCTGCTCCGACAGGCTGCCCGACAACAGTTCCTCGCCCTGCAGGGAACGGGGCGGGCAGAGGGGAGCCGGGCCGTGGTCACCAGCCTCCCTGTTCTAGAACAGCCCCCTTCCCCTCCCAGCAGCCGCTGTCCCCCAAGTGCACACAAGCTTCACGGTGCTAATGCACATCATCGGAGCCCCGGAGGAACAGAGGGAGGGACACAGTCGCCACTTGGCGGATAAGGAAACTGAAGCCCAGAGCGGAGGAAAGACTTGCTCAAGGTCACTGAGTCAGAATGGAAACAGAAATCCTGACTTCCAGTTTCTGGGGCCCTCTCTGCCAGAAAGACGGCTCCTGGCTGTGTAACCTCCCTTTGCCTCGGCTGCTCTGACCCCTGTCCCATCCCTGCAGGTTGGCCCCTGACGCCTGACCTTGTCTTAGGCCCACCTCATCTGCCTTCTCTGCAGCCCCTCCTACAGATGCAGCAGGGTTTAAATCCCAGTTTCTCCACTTCCAAGCACCGTGACCCGAGCCAGCTGCTCATGTCCCTGGGCCTTGGGTTCCCACCTGCCAGTGGAATCCTATAACCCCTGCCTGTCTCAGCCCCACCTCACTGGGCACCCACGCTGGGCCAGGCTCCCTGGCCCTCAGGAGCTCCTCCAGCAAGGACAAGTCAGGGAGCAGGTGGAAAAAGCCCTCTGTACCCCGTGGAGTGCTATCCAGATGTGAAGGGCTGGTGTCACTCTAAGCATCCTGGAGCGGGACACTGACCTTAGACAAATGACCAAACCTCTCTGAGCCTCAGGCTACTCATCTAACAGGACTCATACCACCCACCCCCCAGTGTTGTTGAGAGGACAAAATGGAATCACGCCAGGAAGCTAAAAGCTCTGTCTCGACAGGAATCAAGGGGAGTATTTGCTACATTACATGTGTAAATCCTGTCAGTGCCAGGATGACAAAGTCAGTGTGGCAGACTGTCTGATGCCCCCTTCCTAGGTCTGGTGTCTCCTGATCCTGTCCCAAGCCCTTGAGAAAGAATGGAGTTCCCTGCCCACAGCATGGGACCGGAATCTGGCCCATGCCCCCTCAGCCTGAGGCTCTACTTCCAAAGCCAGTGGGGAAAGGACCAAGAATCAACACTGCAATGGTACCCACTCATCCGCCCCCCCCCACCTCCCGCCAGGCATCTGCCTACCTGAGCCCTGTCTTCTGGTTCTGCCAGAGTAGGTGCTTCGGATGGCGGGGAGGAGGGTGCCTGGGCCTTTCTAGGTGATGAGACACCAGCTGCCAAGAGACAGGAAAGAGACCCTGAGGAAGGTGGAGACCCTGGGGCCCAGGAGGCCCCCAGCCAGCCTACAACTTGAACTCCACAGCTATGGCCTTTGGGAAGACCACCCAACACCGCTGGACCAGAGCAGGCTCCCACTTCACACAGGCCAGGAGACACCTCCTCTTCCAAGCCAAGGGCCAAGGGCAGGCTGCTTAACCTCCCCGAGCCTCCACAGAGTAGGACAGTGACTCTGACCACACACGGGCAGTGGAAATGCTAGGGCAACAGTACAACCACAGAATGGGCAGGTGCCCAGCAAGTGGCAGGACCAGGAGCTTCCGTCCCACAGGGTAAGGGGATGGGAGGGAAGGCAGAGAGAGGAACCACGTGGTGCTGGCCGCCAGGTTCAGGAAAATGGGCTGGTGTGGCCGCACGCCCTCACAGCAGAAGGAACCCACCCCGGCCCACCAGCCCCCTCGGAGACTCCACTCCTTTATTACTTCAGCAAATATTCACGCAGCACCTACTCTGTCCCCAGGGATGAAAATAAAAAATGAAAATTCAGAAAGCCGTATACCCCAAAACATCAATTTTACCATTTGATGATTTTAGGAATAAAATCCAAGTTCCTTACTGTTGTCTAAAATATCATTTACCAAACTAGATCACAATCTGTTAGCAAACCCGGAAATCAATTTAGCGGTTACAACCAACACATTTAAAAGGTGAAATAGAAAATCTCTTCACGCATCACATGCTGCTGTTTTTTTTTTTAAGTAAGCCCTACACCCAACGTGGGGCTTGAACTCACGACCCCAAGAGTCGCATGCTCTACCTACTGAGCCAGCCAGGCGCCCCGGCTTGTATCACGTGTGGTAAGGGGGAAGAACCGTTTCCTGAAACTTGTTGCAGTGACACATGTGTGCGTGAACTTGGACTGTGATGGGAATGTGTGTGATGAGTCATAGCCAGAAATTTTGGAAGCCCGCAGCCTCATCAAGTACCACTCCCCACCACCCCTCTGTCATCCCCTCCTTCCTGCTCAGTCCCTTGAAGCACGCAAGCACACCCTGCTGCCCCTAGCCTGGAACATTCCTCCCCAGATCTTCAAATGGCCTCCTTCTTCTCTTTGTTCAAGGTTTAGCTCAAATGTCACCTCCTCAGAGAGGTCCTCCGTGACCACTCATCTTGAATAGCCACTTCATCCTCCCACTGCTTTTTATCCCATCATTTTGTCTCCTTCACTGGACTCCCGTGAAATCATACTACCTCTTCATTTGTGCTCTCTCCCTCTCTCTCCCTCCTATTCTCAGCTCTCTCCCCAGCACCTAGCACAGTTCCTGGCACACCGTAGGGGCTCAATAAATATCTGTTAAATGAATGAGTAAGTACCAGGTGCTGGGGGCTACGTAGCCAGGAACCAAACACAGATGGTCTGCAGGGGAAGAGGGAGGGGTGATCCAAATATTTTGACCAGAGTCTTATGTGTTCACCACAGGGCTGGGGGCCGCAAGAGCACCTGGGGTAAATCAGGGCAGGCTGCTTAGAGGAGGCAAAATGTGAAGATCAGAGGATGGGTAGGAAAGAAATGTTTGTGGGTGGGAGATGTGGAACAGAAAATGGGAGTTTGGGGCTGGAAGATCACCAGGAAGAAAGGCTGGCAGAGAAGGAATATGATGTATTCAAAACACAAAAAATTTAGTATGCCTATGGCTGGGGCAGTGAGTGGCTCAAGCTAAGTGGGGAGAGACGCTCAGAGGCCCCACTAAGAAGCTGGAATGGGGGTTAAGCATCTGACTCTTGATCTCAGCTCAGGATTCGATCTTAGGGCTTTTGAGTAGGGCCTATGCCCAGCGTGGAGCACAACATGTGGCCTACTCAAAAAAAAAACACACAAAAGAAGCTGGATTTTATCTGGATAACACTCGCCCTGCCCCCCCGTGACTGCAATTTCACACAGCCGCTGGGTGTCCTTCACTCATGCTCTGGTCCCAGACCACACCGTGGCTCCTGGAAGGAAGGGTCAGCGGCTGGGCCCAGGGTCACCGGCACCATGGAGCCTGGCACCAGCAAACACTCAGCATGGTGCTGTGTCTTAGCCAGGGCCAGGTTCCAGAGCGACCCAGTCCAGGGAAAGTCAAGTCTGGTCCAGATCGCCCCTGAAATCCTTCTAGTCGCCCAGAAAGTAGAGCCCAGGACCATCTGGGGGAGTCTCACAGCCAGCTCTGCCTCCAGGGTGGGAACACACTGCTGTTTCCTTTGGTGGAGCAGTGGGTGGGACACAAACGGTTTGCATTTAGAGGCCAAGTTGTATGAGAAGCACAAACTGTACCTTTATCAATAAGAACCCCCGCAAGCCCAGAGGGGTGCCCCCTCCCACACACGGCTAGGGGAGCTGGGCCCACCAGGGCTGCCCTCAGCCCGGGGTGCCCCATGAGAACCCAGGAACCCAGCGGGCACCACCAACAGTACTGTGGGGCCCACCCCTCCCGCCTCGCAGGTCCCCGGAAGGGTGGCCCTCCAGAAAAGAGCTTAGTTGAAAGAGATTAGGGTTTGGAGACAGGGAACCTTCCAGAGGGTGAGACTGAATTGTGATTCTAGGTAAGCAAGCTACACTCTAACCAGTGAAATAAAGGAGTCATAATAATGTGAACCTTGAGCCCTAAATAAGGGCCAGACACAGGTGCACACTTCCTCACTTACTCTTCATATCAACCCTCAGAGATGGGGCACTGTTCTTATCTGCCTTGCAAAGGAGAAACTGAGGCAGACAGGTGACCATGGTGGCCCATTGTCATCCAGATAGTCAATGATGCCCATGCTCTTAATTTCCACCCTACTGCCTCTCACCAAAGACTCAGGGGCCGGGAAATACTTTCATTTTGATTTCTACTAAAACACACATAATGTTATTTGTTCAACTATAATATTGATCTCTCGTTGGGGGGGCAGGTAACAGGTTATCTTAATTTTTATGCTCTTTGCTACATTCTCAATTTTCTACAGTAAGCATGTTTTGCTCTTAGTAAGAAAAAATATGAAAAATAAAAATAAAAACCCTGACTTAGTAGAACACTTTTTCTTAAAGAGACAGGCTGAGATTGTCCACATGGAGAGCCGAGGCAAGGGGAAGGACCAAAACGGGAGAGGGGAGGGGCAAGGCCCCCAGGGACGCAGCACAGGTGTCAGGACACCTGGATTCTAGTCCTGCCATTCAGCTTTCCTGTGGCGTGACCTTGACCTCCTTGCTTCCTCTCTGGGCCCATTTCTTCTCTGCACAAGGAGAGGCCCAGCTGTCCCCAGGAGAGATTCCTGCAGGAGGATGCCCCAGGTGGGAGGCTCAGGAGCCACCCAGTGATGACTCAGAGCAGAGAAGCACCCTGTGGTTCCCTCAACCCCCACCCCAGGTCCCCAGCCTCTCAGTTCTCAGACCTTGAAGGTCATTTCTGGGGACAACGCTGCACCACAGCCCCACAGGGCCACTTGCTGGCCTTGGAGGAAAAGCCCCAGGGAAGTGTCTGCCAACAGGAAGTGGGGGGGGGGGCACCAGAGAGGGGAACTCACAGCAATGAACGAATGAACGCGCACCCTGCTTTGTCTACCTTTAGTCTCGTTCAGTGATTGGTTGAGGGGTTTGCTGCCCAGAAGACTGCGGGCCGCACGAGGGCAGCCAGCAACCCCAGGGCCCAGCACAGTGCTGTCTTACTCACTCCCTATTTCAACGACTGAATGAATGATCCAGTGAATAAATGATGTGCTGTTTTCTGGGCTCCGCAGCCCGGCACCTCCCCAGCCCCACGCCCAGGGCCAGCCTCCCTAAAGGGCTGGCCCCCTCTCACCTTGGCCAGGGCTGGCGAAGTGGTTGTAATACTGGGACACGTAGGTCATGATGCTGAGGCAGTCAGGGACACTCATGGAGACCATGTCATTGGGGTCCAGGAGAGCGGGGATCCCCAGCTCCTTCTCAGCCACTTCAAAGGCCTGGGGTGAGGGGCAGGTGCAGGGGGTGGGGTGGGGGGAGGGGGAGTTGGGGGGGCAAGAGTAGGAGTGGGGGAAGGTGGGGGGAGAGAGGCAGGGGTGGGAGTGGGGGCAGGTGCGGGGGGGGGGGGGGGGGGGGGGGGGGGGGGTGCAAAAGCGGCCGGAACAGGAAGAGGAGGAGGCAGGGTTAGGCAGCCCAGGCCCGGCTTCCCTCAGTGGGATAAAGGGTCCAGGGCTATGGGCTCCCCTCAGCTCTGGCCGCACAGGGTGCCCCAGGCATAAATGGGCCAGAAGGAAGAAGGGGGGTGGGGAGAGGAGCAGCGAGGGCCCCAGTGCAAAGCAGCTTCTCAGAGAGCCGGTCCAGGAGGCCCTCACCTCAGCTCCTACTCTGCAGAACCCCTGCCCACCCCGCCCCCCTCCACACACTCACAGCCTCTAAGCCTTCCATCTGTTTGGGGACTCACCAAACGGTTATTCTCGAAGACATTGTCCTTGGAAAGCGAATCAAAATCTCTGCAAGAGGTAAAGGGGAGGAGAAGCATTGAGGAGGTGACAGGGGCAGGGGTGTGGGTCTGGCAGGAATGGAAGTGACCTCATCCCAGCCAGCGTGGGCCTCAGCAGGGTTGGGGGAGGGGTCTGTGGATGGCCAACGAGGAAACTGAGGCAACAAGCACAGGCTCACAGAGCCGGGCCTGCTGGGTGGGCGCAGAGCAGGAGCTCATGCCCCTCCCCGCCCAGGCACCCAGGCAGAGCCTGGAAATCACTCTGAAGGGGCGGGGCTCAAGTCCAAGTTTTTTTGTTTTTTTTTTTTAAATCCAACCTTTCAAGTCTAAGATCTCTCACTATGCCGGTAAGTCATGTCCTGAGTCAGTGGCAAAGACAAAACCAAGACGAGGACTAATGTTTGTAATGACGGGGACCGCCACAGATGGCTGACCTCACGCCAGGGACTGTGCTGAGCTCCTGTCGGGAGTTTATTTTCATAGCAACTCTCTTGGCAGGTACTGACCCCACTTTACCAATGAGGACACTGCGACCCAGAAAGGGGAAACCACCCAGCCCTGAGGATCCACAGTTCTGGACCTTCCACCGGCTATCACAAACCCAGAGGAGCCACACCAACTTGCCGAATCCCTGACCCAGCCCAGAGACGAATGTTTAATGGAGCCAGGAACAGAAGAACAAGTTTGAATCCGACTGGAAACTATACATACTCCAGAGCTACTGACAACATCTGACCGACCTGCTGGGCCACTCCTGGGGACCCCTTCCCTTGGGGGAGCAGTAAAGGGTTTCCCAGTTTCTAAGCTGGGACAGGTGAGAGGCAGTGGGGTCTGCCCTGGGGACCCTTGGCGGGAGATACCTGGCCAGCCTGCTGGCTCCATCTGTCCACCTTCCTCCCCCTCAGCACCCCAGGCTGCTCAAGTGGCTGAAACTGGCAGAAACAGCATAGCCTTCCGGCTGGCAGCCTCCTAGGTGCACCCGCCCAATGCCTTGCCCTTCTATGGCTGAAAACTGCAGCCTTGACTCTCCCACATGGTGGGCCCAGAGACCAGAACAGGCTAGCACCACCTCCAAGGTCAGGGTCCCAGGCTCGGCTCTTCCAGGCCTGGCTATGCAACCTGGGGCAGGTCAGCAGTCTTCTCGGCCTTCATTTTCCCATCTGTAAGTTGGGGGAAGCTCTAGCACCCCCTCCCAGGTTGGTGGGGAGGGCTGGATGAGTCTGGGCTTGGGGAAGGGCAGGTCTCACTGATACAAGGGGGCAGGCAAGCATGCCCCCCTCCTCCTGCCCCCAAACTGCTTCAGGCAGAGTCCAGGTACAATGAACGAACCGATGAATGGTGGGCCGAGGCAGGAAAGGGTAGCCTGAGAACCCCAGAGGGAGGTGCCCCAAGGTTGGGTGATCTAGGACAGGGGAGCTGACTAAGAATGAGCCTCAGCCCTTTTGCCACCTCTGGCCAGGCCACTTCCCTCCCCCCTCCCCTTCCCCCCACCCTTGCCCCTACCCCCCCCACCCCACCCAAGCCAAAGCTGGGTCCCTAAGCCCTCTTGCTTTGCCACTGCCTAAGAGTGTGACCATAAGCAAGCTATTTAAAGTCTCTAAACCTCAGCGTCCTCGTCTGTGACCCTGTGAACAGGTGAGGGGACACCAGCCCAGCCGCAACAAAGGCTTGTTCAGAGACCAAAGGAGACAAAAGCAACTTGTCTTGGCGGTTAACTTCAGTCTCCCCCACAGTGTTCCTAGAAGGCTGGGCTCACGTTTTGTTCACCCTGTGCCCCCAACACCCTGTGTAGTTCCTGGTACTTAGTAAGTGCTCAACAAATATTTGTTGAATGAATAAATTCTGGAAAATAAATTCTGTGAAAACTATAAAAACCCCGGAAACACTGGTTTCTCCTGCAGCTTCTTCCCCACCCCCATCTCTGTCCCTAATCAACATCTGGGCTTTGGTAACAGATATTTTCTGAGAGTTTTCAAAAGCCCGGGAAGTTCTATTTGGCTCTGGGGGAGATGAAGTACACAAAAATGAAACCCACATGGTCTCTGCCCTCAAGGGAGCTTAAAGATGCCTGGATTGGGGGTCAGAGGGGTGGCCAACAATGAACCAGGCCCCCCAGCATGGCAAACCCCGCCCCCCAGCAGCAGCAGGGCCCACAGCTCCAAGAGCTTGAACCCATTCAGATGACTTGCCCCCAGGCCCTACCCTACCCCTACTCTCATGGAGATCCTCCCTATGCCTCTTGTGGCAGCTGGGCCTCAGTTTTTCTTCTGCTGAATGGGCTGGTAGCCAGGGAACTGGCCTGCTCCACAAAGGAATGTCTAATCATGATTCTGAATCTCTTCTCAGGAGGGGATCTGCCCTCCCCTGCTTAAAACCCACAAAGCTCCTCATGGCTCCATCCACCCTCCTTAGCCAGCAAGAGGCCCTGGCGCTCCAGGCCAGCTGCATCTCCTGGTCCTCCCTGCCCTGTGCTATGGGCCCCAGCAGTGCTCCCTCCCCACGGGGCTCTGCTCAGGTGGCCCCCTCCGGCCGCAGGAAGGGTGTTCCTGCGTAGGGGGAGCACCTGGCTCCTACTATCTCCATTACCAGGCAGGGCCCAGCACAAACGAAGGAGTAACATACCCTCATCACACCCTACTGTCTAATCACACAACGTGTAATAACTCATGTTAATTGAATGCTCATTACCTCATATCATCCTCACAACAATTCTGTGACATAGATCCTATTATCAACCCCACTGTACAGATGAGGAAACTGATGTCTGGAGGGGTCCAGTGATTTACCCCAGGTCACACATCTAGAACATGGAGTTGCTGAACGAAGCCAAACAGCCTGCACTTTGATGCTGGCCAGCTCAGGTCCACCGATCACCTTAGCCTGACACTGAGGTCCCTTAACACACTGGCCCTGTCCCTTGCCTCCTGCCTCACTGCCTGCTCTGCAGCCGCAACGGAAGGCCCCTTGAGCCCTCTGCTCCAACACAGGGGTCCAATCTGGGCGCCCTTCTCCAGCCTTCCAATTCCTGCTCCTGAGCTCCCCACCCCCAGCCCATGCCTGTGTTAGAGCAGCTGCCACCCACCCCAAAGCGGGCAGGCGCCCATGGACGTCTCCACCCGGTCTTCCTTTGCTTCTGCAGCTGCACCCCCCCAAAACCCTCTCCTCCACGGCCCAACACAGGGCCCACCCCAGCACCCAGACACGGTAGCACACAGATGGGATCCTTGAGGCCATTCTCTCCTCCCTTGTCTCCTCCATCGGGGCCCTGCCAGGTCCAGTGCTCAGCGGGAGCACAAGTCTGCAGTGGAACAGACACCCAAAGACCCCAGACCCAGCCAGGCTCAGGGAGCCCTGTCGGGGGCACTGTTGGCAAGAGAGGCAAAGACCAGGTCTCTGGGTCTCAAGTTGCCGATGAGACAGGAAGCCCAAGGAATGGTGGGCCCCAGCTTAATTTTCACTCTGTTTGATGAATGAGTGAATGAGTGAATAAATGAAGAGGTTCCAGAGTCCAAGGCAGGGGGAGCTGAGAGAGAAGCCCCAAGTCGACTGCTCTGGGGTCTGAATAAATATCTCCATGAGAACCTCACCTGGCAGCTGGGGGCAAGAAGGGGCCATTTCACACCCTGGAGCAGCGCCGCGGGGGCTGTCAGTCAGACCTTGGGAATCTTCCCTCAGCCTCCCTGCCCCACTGAGGACCGCAGCGCTGTGGGTACACACTTGGGAGGCAGATCTGTGTCCTAACTGGGGTGGGAGGTAGGAGGTAGGTAGGATCCATTCATCCAACAACTATCAACCTAGGGTCTCCTCTGTGCCAGGCACTATGCTGGTGCCCTGGAGACAAGATGGCAGGGGGGCATCAGAAAAGTGCGCCAGAGGACCCCCCTCCCAGAGCGCCGAGCCTCAGTGCCTCGCGGAGAGGGGGTGGCTCAGTGCTCCTGTTTGAGTGGTGCGGGAAAGGCCCAGGGTCCCCAAGGAGGGCTAGGTGTCTCTTTGGCGGAAATCAGTGCCCTGTGGGCGGGGCCAGGGCCCTCGGTGCAGGGACCAGTATGCGGGGCAGGTTCAGTGTCCCAGTGGGCGGGGGCGGGGCCTCGTGGGGAAGGGGTCCCCCGGGGCGGGGGGAACGGGTGCTCGGTGACCTGCGAGTCGTTGAGGGCCCGTCGGTAGGGTCTGCGTCTCGGTCTCCGGGGGGGCGGCGCCTGCCACCGCCCGAGCTCCGCGTCACTGAGGGGGGCGGGGGTCCCCAGCTCGGGCCCGCGCGGCCCTGCGCCCCGGCCCGCCCGCCGCCCCTCCCCCCGCCCCCAGCACTCACAGCAGGTCGGGCCGGTGCCGGTGCAGGATGGCGCAGAAGGCCAGGCCGTCCCGGAAGGAGCTGCTCAGGTCGCGGATGTCCACGCCGCGGTAGCCCTCGCATTGGCGGCGGCACCAGGCCAGCAGCGCGCCCCGCGGCCCCGCCATGAGCCGCGCGGGGCTCGGGACCCGCTCCGGGCGCCGCCGGGATCAAGCTTCACCCCCGGGCCCGACTCCGGCCGGTTTCCGGCGGCGGCTCCAGCTCCTACTCCGGCGCCGCTCCGAGCTGCGGGCGCCGACCCGCGGGCGGCGGGCGCAGGGCGGGGAGGAGGCGGGGCCGCGGCCTCGGTGTCCGCGCTCGGGCTGCGGCGCGGCTTCCCGGCTGGGCTCGCTGCTCCCCGCCCGGCCCTGCCCGGACCTGCCCGAGCAGCCGCCGCCCGCGTGGCCCGGCCCGGCCGGCCGCCGCCTACTCACCGCCGCCCGCCCCCCTCGCTGTGGGCCGGCCGCAGGCGCGGGCGTCCCGCTGGCTTCGGTCCCCGCCCGCCGCCGCCGGGAGCCCCGGGGGCCTGGCGCCCCACCCAGCGGCGGCTCCGCCCCCAGACGCGCCCCCGCCCGCGCGAGGGCCGGACACCCCGCAGCCCCTCTGCTGGGCGATCGCGGTCACCGCTTTTCCTCGGGAACCCCTCAAAGAACTCCGGGACAGCCCCTGGACCCCTCACCCACTGCGAACTCGCCCGTTCCACAATGACGTCTTCCACCCGACTACCTCCACCACGCTGCCCACCTGGAATTTTCCTTTCTCCCAGCCTGCCCTCTTCCCACTCTTTGGCCTAAGGACGTGCAGATCCCCAACACTGACTTCCCTAAACCCACTCACCTCTCCTGCCTGAAACTTCGGGCAGGCATTCCCCCCCAACCTCAGGCCAATCGGGCAGTTTCCCCGCTGACCCCAAAGCACCCCCAGATGGCCTGATCCAAGGCCCTCCCCTGACCCAGTCTCTCACCACTCCAAAACGCCCCTGAACTCCGTCGTTCTATCTGCCACTATCCCCTTCCCCCATCGCCTGCCAGGGAGATTTCATGCTCCCACCCCACCCCCATCAGTCCAGGTGTATACTCCGCCATGTAGTGAGCCTGTCGACTGGTCCTTCAGAGTTCTCCTCTGCCCCTGTGTAGGCTCAGGGATCTCCTCCCGCCCCATTAGAAGAGTGGTGGGTGGAGCCCCTGTGGGCAGAACCAATAGGAAGCAGGCCCTTGTCCGGTGGGGCTCTGGGTCTCAGACCTTGGAACCCCAAGCCTCGTTCTGCTTCCCTCTCCAAGACCTGGGTCAGCCGCTCCTCCCCAGAGGTCCCTCCTGACCTCAGATGAATCAGCTTTCCACTCTGGCTGCGCTGGTGGTGACATCACTCTGAGCAGTATAATAGTGAGCTGGGATGGGTCTGTCGCTCCACCCCCCCATGGGAAGGAGCAGGGTCTTAGTCACCTCTGTCACCCCTCAGCCCGCGGAGGTTGGAAAGAGCAGGGCTTTGGGAGTCCTAGGCACCCAGGCTGGAATCCTGTCTTTTCCCACTCCCTCAGCCGTGTGATCTTGTGCCTCCCTGAACATGTTTCCATACCTTAAAAATAGGGATAATTCCCGAGTAATGTATAGAATTGTTGAATCATTATATTGTACACCTGAAACTAATATAACACTGCATGTTAATTATTCTCCAATAAAAAAAAATAGGCATAACTCTAGCTTTACAAAGTAGCTGAGAGGATTAAGATATAATGTGCCTGACGTTTCAGTCATCACTCATAAATTCTAATTCTTGGTACCTAGTAACGTATTTAAACGTGTGGCAAAATGGATTGAAAACATTTTAAGATTTTATTTATTTATTTGACAGAGAGACACAGCAAGAGAGGGAACACAAGCAGGGGGAGTGGGAGAGGGAGAAGCAGGCTTCCCGCTGAGCAGGGAGCCCAATGCGGGGGCTCGATCCCAGGACCCTGGGATCATGACCTGAACCGAAGGCAGATGCCTAATGACTGAGCCACCCAGGCGCCCCTGAAAACATTTTGTACCCAGCTCCTCACATGGGCCTTTTGAGGAAATTATGGAGGAGAGAAGCCCACGTGGGGATTGCCACCTCCTCAAGGACTTCCTAAGCCCCAGCCCGGAATGCCGTTATGACCCCAACCGGGCCAGCCTGCCATCTTAGATCTGTTCAAGGCTGGAAGGCCCATTCTTGGCCCAGAATGCGGACTCTCCCGGGCCACCTAGGAAGTGGCTGCCGTGGGCCAGGTGGCCTAGCGAACCCTCTTGGCCCCTCACCAGTCTGTGCTTGCCACCTCCTGCCCTGTCCCCTTTGAGAAAGCAACTCCAGGAAAGGAAGGTTCCTTTCATTAAATCAGAGACTCGGCCTCAGGACCCACCTTGGCCTTCAAAGACCACCAGGACTTTTCCTTAAAACCCAGGAGGGATTATATCCCTGTCCTCACCAACCTAAGGGGCTCCCTCCAGGTCCCCGAAGACAGCTCCAGCGCAGACCTTAATCCCGTTGCTGTAATAATAACTTATATGGCACAGCCCTCTGGGTCCCCATTAGCCCATCTGTGGCCTTTATAAACTCATTATCTGAGTCAGCTCACCGCGATAGGAAATAAGGACCTGCTTGAGCACAGCTGCGTCTGCAGGCCAGACACCTCGCCCCTAGGAACCCCAATTTCCTACCCTATAACATGGGGATAATAATCTTTGCCTTGCCTGCAACCCAGGGGTGTGGGTCATCAGCTGAGATAATGGATGGCAAACTTGCGCACGGGGCACCTGACTGGCTCAGTCAGTAGAGCGCTCAACTCTTGATCTTCAGGGTGGTGCGAACAAGCCGCACACCGGGCATAGAACTTGCTTTAAAAAAAAGGGAAAGTGCTGGGCAGACTCTAAATCCAGGGTTCAGGTGAGTGTTGGGACTGCTTTTACAGGTGAGGTCAGAAGCCACAGACGGCTAGGCAAGTCAAGTCACTGGCCCCAAATCATACCATAATTTCAGGATTAGGACTGAGGGCTCTGGGCCTTTATTTCAGTGTTTTTCTTTATTTTTTAACTACCAATTAAGGGATCCCATTCTCCTCATCAAAAATTGAAAAATAAAAGCTGAAGTTCCTAGTTGCCTCCCTCAGTCCCAGTCCCCTTCTAAGAGGTAGGCACAGTTGTCAGTTTAAAACTTATCCTTTCGGACCTTGTACATGCATTTGTAGTCACACATGGATTCAACACAGATTTCCTGAGCACCCGCTTCCCAGCTTGGGCATTCGAGGGGAAAGAAGAGTAAACGAGACAGGGTTCCTGCCCTCATGGAATTAACTTTCTAGCAGGGAAGACAGGCAGGGAACAAGAAAACAAATCAACAAAGATAATTTCAGATAGTGAGCGGTGCTGGGGCAAAAAATAGAAAAGATGCTGTGAGAGAGCCATGGAGACAGACAGGGCCACCAGGGAAGGCATCTTTGAGGTGGGGACATTTCAGCTGAAGAACACCCATCCCACAAGAAAGCACGTTGAATGCAAGCCAGTGAGAGATGTCCTTGCAGGTAGAGTTTGAATCTTTTCTGGTTTAATCCAGGCTAACAGCTGCAGGGGTCCCAGTGGTGGGGCAGGACTAGTCTGGTGAGTGAGACAGACTACTGGGTGATCTTTGTCCAGCACGATAAAGGGCAAGGAAAAGGAAGGTGTCCAGGGGAGCTCCCGGACTACTTCGGGAAAGAGCGCCTTGCTTTCTCCCCTGGCCATTCTTTCTGCCAACCTGTTTTGCAGGAGGGCTGTGGAGGAGGCAGAGGCAAAGACAGGATGAAAAACCAGAACCCACTGGGGTAGGAGAATCTAATATAGGATGAACACTGGTGGGAACGAAAGAGTGAGGGAATGACCAGGGCCTAAGGTTTACATTTGTCTTCCCATGCAGATCTCATGGTCACTTTCAGAAAGATAAAAGGGAGAGGGATTGGGGGCGCCTGGCTGGCTCAGTCGGTAGAGCATGCGACTCTTGATCTTAGGTTGAGTTTGAGCCCCATGTTGGGCAGAGAGATTGGAAATAAAAAAAAAAAAAGGACAGCCTTAGAGGGGACACCACTAGGCACCTCTAGCTGTTGAGTTTATCTGATTCTGCACCTGCTCAGAGGCCAGTGGATCACTTCTCTCTCAAAGCCAGAGAACTTCATGTATGTATGTGCAGTTCCTGGGGGTGGGAGGGGGGGCCTGGCTGGCCCCATTTCACCCACCACCCCTCTCTGCCACACACTTGCTGGAAGATCCTGGACAAAGATGTCATCTGCCCAAGTTCAACATCAACATCTATAAAAGGTGGAGGATTCTGTCCTCCAAAATACTATCCCAGGGGCCTTGAGATGCACACACAAATATGGTCTTTGTTTGCTAACAGCAAAACACTGGAAACATCCTAAATATTCATTAGTAAGGGACCGGGTAATTACGATTCAGCACAGCTACATGACAGAAAACCACACAACTGTTAAAAAGAATGTCATGGAAATACATCCTCGAAAGAAGTGAAAAAAGCAAGATGCAGAATAATAGGTATAAAAGGATCCCATTTTTGCAAAACGATATTTATATTTTGGCGGGTGGCCTGCTTCTCCCTCTCCCACTCCCCCTGCTTGTGTTCCCGTCTCGCTGTCTCTGTCAAATAAATAAAATCTTAAAAAAAAAAACTTGAACTCCGTATCAGAGCAGAAAATGGAGCCAACTCTTTAAAAAAAAAAAAAAGTCATTGGGGCACCTGGGTGGCTCAGTCATTAAGCGTCTGCCTTCGGCTCAGGTCATGGTCCCAGGGTTCTGGGATCGAGCCCCGCATCAGGCTCCCTGCTCAGTGGGAAGCCTGCTTCTCCCTCCCCCACTCCCCCTGCTTGTGTTCCCTCTCTCGCTGTGTCTCTCTCTCTCTCTCTGTCAAATGAATGAATAAAATCTTTAAAAAAATAAAAATAAATAAAAATTAAAAAGTCATTGTGCTTTGAATTTATGACAATAGCAGGTATAACTTTAAAATAACAGCTTTGAGATATAATTCACATACCATAAAATCACTCTTTTCAAGTGTACAGTTCAGTGGTTTTTAATATATTCACAGAGTTGTGCAGCCATCACCACTATTTAGAACATTTTTTAAAGAAATTTTATTTATTTATTTATTTGACAGAGAGCACAAGTAGGCAGAGCGGCAGGCAGAAGGAGAGGGAGAAGCAGGCTCTCTGCTGAGCAGGGAGCCTGACATGGGGCTCGATCCCAGGACCCTGGGATCATGACCTGAGCCGAAGTCAGACACTT